GCTAACTGAGCTAACGGCCGCTACAGTCAGCAGCAGTTTGGATAGTAAGCGGAAGTATGCGCCATCTGTCCATCAGGAAACTCTGTAAATTACTGTAAGTTGAGGCAGAGAAGCCGGAGGAGAGGGACAACCAGGAAATCCTTTTATATTAAATATGATCAGATCATAGTCCTGGCTGGAGAAGCTGAAAATCACCGTGGTGTCAAAGTGAACTCTGCAACTGTAGCTGCAAAATAAACCAATTCTTACATAATGTTGCTTTAACGAAAACTTGAAAAACATTTGTATGTTTGTAAATTTGTCTTTTTTCTTTTCCCCCTCCCTTTCACTGCTTTTTATCTTAAATTTATTTGCTCTTAAATCTCTGCTTTTTTTTGGGCAGTGCTGAGATTTTTGCTGCTTTTTCTGCTTCAGCAGAAACGCTGCTCACCTTTCTGGCCAGTCATCATCAGTTTCGCTGCTTTTTCTCACGTCACTTTGGTCTGCGAGACAGTCTTTCCTTTCTCTCTCTCGCTTTGCTTTCTTCATTCTCTCTGCTTCTCAGGTGTCAGCTGGATAAAAACGTGAGGGGCGAGTACTCGGATCTTTCTGGTTTTGGACTCTATCCTAGTTCAGACCTTGAAGGTGTGACATTTTGTCATTTAAACAATTTGTCCGACTATCCGGATCTGGACATCACACTAGTGAGCCAAATAGGATAGGACACCCCCATAATCTACTTTACTGTGACTCTGCTTCACATAAAGATTTACACATTTGCTCTGGACCTGCAGTATGAAGCCGTGCACGGATTTTACTTCTAACAAACACGTCATCTCCCATAACGGTCCAACACAACATTCGTGTCCCAGTTCCGTACTTCACACTAATTTAAAGCAGGTCTGTTGTGTGTTGATGCTGGAAAAGTGTCAATGTCCCAAATTGTAATGCAACAATCAGTCTAGAAAGATTTACTATTGCACTTCCATAAAGTTGGGGGAGTTACAAAAGACAGATTAAAATGCAAATTAGAGCAGCAGATGCAGAGATATCCAAACAAGCTCTAAACATGCTGTATCCTACATTTCCCATAATGCAACATAATAGCATATTTTTATATTTTAAGCAGCCAGTATGCTTCTGAAACAGACAAACTGACATCCACACCCACCTCACCCTGCAACAGTTTATCTGTGTGAGCCGGGTTTGAACAACACGATGAATGTCTTCCAGTCTGATGTCCCCGTTAGTTAATCAATACCTCGTCTTCCCTCGAGCCTTCCAGTGTGGCCGTTCTGATCAGGTATAAACACTTCTGATGTGCGACTTGGTGAGACGTCGTGTGAATTAGACTTTCGTTGCTCACACCGTTTTCAGAGAGCTGATGGAAACGAGAGACGGGACAGATGTGGTAGAGATGCCCAGCCGAACTCAAACTGGGTAAGATTACAGTGTCGTAGACTGAAAACAGTCAATGAAATACAATAAAATTAAAATAAAACAGGTCCGTGAGTTTAAAGGTTTACTGCACAACGGTTAAAATAACTTTCCAAAGTTTTAAAATCATGTTTCAATCACTTTCTCTTCCGTTATGACAGCTTAAAGTTTTACAGTAGAAATATGGAGTTCATGTTATAAAGTAATGTACCAGGATTGTGCGCTTACTTGTATTTGATTGGCCGCATGTTGAGGCAGGTGGTAAGCCGGAACGATTTGTAAAAAATTACTTGATTATTTTAAATGATATTGCAACTTCGATACGATCTTGTTCAGCCATTTGTTGGAGTTTCCCTTTTAAAACTAATTGAAAAAGATCTTAAACAACAAACGCCATTTCGCTTTCTCTTGCGTCATAGTTTGATTGACGTATCAAATAATTTTTTAAACAATTAGTATGAAGTATGAAATTGGGACACAGCCGATACTTATCTTTCCTGCCTAACTATTTTAAGATTGCTTTATTAAAAACATGAGATCAAACCCCGGCTGTAACGTGGCTGAAATGTTTAAAACACAGAAATGAAGAGTTGAGATGAAAGGTTTTTAATAACCCTGCACACAGACTCTGTGCTGTTTGACATTTTGCTGGAGGGAAATATTATTCTGGTACTGTGAGTGTGTAATTTATACCACCGGTAGAAATTAAATTACACACTGATGTTTCAGCATTTAGTTAATGCGTTTATGGGATTCATTAGTAGTGTCAGAAATTAAAAGCTAGCATGAAAATAGACAAACGCAGTTAAAGTATAACCTAAATCACTTATCACAGATATATTTTATGTATATTATATGACCATTTAGTTTTTCTTGTTTTGAAGAAATTGCTTTATTAACATGTAAAAAAGAAAAAGTATCATCTATGTTTTATATAATCAAGCTTTTTTTGTATTTTTATACTTGAAGAAGAGGACTCATGAGCATGTGACACATTTATTCTGTAAATTATTATTTTTCTGCGTTAAAGATGTTTTATCCCCCCCCCCAACCCCACTCTCTAACCATGATCACACTTTGTTGTGGAAGACCAATCAGCAGTGGGAGGTACCCCCAGCTGGTTGTGATAGACAGTATATAGTACCGCCACATTTATAAAAAGCACATATCCTCCAAAACAATCACCTCACTTACAGGACGCCCCATTTTGTAGCTGTTTTCCTCTTATTATAACCAACAGTGTACGTTAACGACACAGAATACAGTTTAAACTCTATTGATGGTTTCTTGATGACTGTGTTGATTGTTCAAAACCATTTGTGGATGTTCTAAAATGTATATAAACCCAAATAATATATTACAAATATTGATTTTGTGTGGAAAAAAATTTTCTAGACGGGAAAAAAATAAATAAATCCGAAAAATGGCATGCATACTGTAAACATTCCTGGAAATCTGCACGCTGGGTCAACAGAGGTCTCATTTTTTTGTCAATAATTCTGTGTATACCTGTGAGTGTATGATAGAGTAAACAAATTGTACAGTAACATAGATTTTTGTATTATGTTCAAAATGGGTCGGTAAAGCCCCTTTTACTGTCAGAATAAAAGAGGAAAAAAAGATTGACTACTGAGAAAGATATTTGAATGATATTGTATATCAACTAAATACTGTTCCTCCAGTCTGAGAGTGATGCTTGCTGTGTGGGGTAAGTGTTGTTCGTGAATTGTGACGAAGAATGATAATCTACTACAAAGTCAGTATAACTAAAGACCAACTTAACAGTGCAAAACACCTCGCAGCTTTGTGTATGGAAAGTAAAAGTTGCTGCTTCGTGTGAGAAAAATCAACCAAACAAAAAAAAGGTTGCTGCTTTTTGTACGTTCCTGTTGTGTTTTTGTGACAATAAAGGTGACCCTCTTATACACGACGGTTGTAAGTGTGAATCATTGAAGAGCTGAAAGGAACTTTTTATCACCAATTATTTTGCCCTTTGTTTTCTCTGGATTAATTGATTAAAAAAAATTTGCAAAAAATGCCTGTGAGAGTAGTAACCTGGAATCGTCAATATTCGGGAAATCTGTGCTTGAAAAATTGTATTCTGATTTTTAAAAAACCTGCTGTTCATGAGTAGCTGCACATTGGTGGGATTTGATCATCATTATAGCCAACGCTCCTAAATTGCCATATAACAACCTGCTTACTCCAACATTTAAAACAGGAATAATCAATTTCACTGCCATGATTAGTGGATTTCACGTTGATGAACTTTGACGAGCGAATTTGCGCCAGTGACCAATAGCAACGTAGCTTATTAGCTGTGTTTTATTTACAGTCGTTTGTGTTTCTTGACCCATATTTACATTTATTGTCGACCTCTAGTGGCCGTACAGCGGTAGCGAAGCAGTTTAACGAACTTCTGAAAAGATCAGATGTCTTGTCAAAATATTAAAGACAGGACGAAGAGTCCATAAACAATGCTAGCACCTCTTGGCGTCATGCTAAATTGCTAAGGTTTACCATGTTCACCATTGAAGTTTAGCGTATTAGCATTTGCTAATTAGCAAGTACAGATGAGGCTGATGAGAATGTCGTTCATTTTTCAGGTATTTTGTCACAAACCAAATTTAAAATTTGATCCGATGCTGCTGGATGAAAGTCAGGAACTCGCCAAAGTGTCTACAACTCATCCTTGAGGGACCTGGTAGCAAAGTTCATGCTAATCAACATGCATTTCAACCTCTTCAAAGTCGGCAGTCTTCATCCTCTGGAGAACATGAATGTCTGTGCAAGTAATATAATCAAACTCCAAGTAAATCGACATTGTTAATTATCTGTTTATATGAGTCCCATTGTTTTTGTTAAATTAATCATATAAGGAATTATTGTCTAAAACGTCCTCCACATGAAACCAGCCAGCATGAATACATGAGTTTATAATTAGCAGCTTTGTAACCATCCTCAATAAATGTATAAATGAACGTACATATCATCATTTAATACTGAGCGCAGGAGTTTTAATCATGTTGACTTTGAATCCCTGCTTAGGGCCCAAATAAATGTCGCAGATTAGTCTGAACCTAGCAGCTCCTAAAACTAATTTACTATCTAAACTCTATCTAAAATCTAAACTCATTTAGATTAGATGAAAATTTAATGACTCCTGAGGAGAAGCTGAGTTGTCACATTAGCAGAGAAGGAGCAGGAGAGAGATGATGATCAACGGAGTGAGGCGTAAGATTCAAGCAATTAGAAACGAGTGAAAGCAGGTTTTTGGTTTACAGGTTCAATGTGAAAGTGTTCATCACAACAGACGGTGACGGATTTAAAGAAAAACAAATTCAGATGCTTCTGTACAAGACACGAGGAATCACTGAACGGTTTGATAAGAATGAAAGTGATGTAAATAATATGTCGTGACCTTCACCGTCTCCAGATATTGTTTGGAAATGATCTCCGGATTGTAAGTGACAATGAAGTCGTAGCACTGTTTAAAGGAATAGTTGACATTTTGGGAAATGCAGATTGACGGCAAACCGAAAAGTTGCATTTGTGACGTCCTAACTGTTTCTCTCTTTGACTGAAGCTAACGTCAAAGAGCTTCCATGTGTAGATGATGTGAAGAAAGGACCAGGGGTCGTTGGATTAAACTCATCAGGTGAGAAACATCTGTGCATGGAACATCGCCAAGTGGCCTAGCTAGTAGCAAGCAATGAACGTTAGCTTAGCATTACAGTGTTAGCATGTTGTTGAAAATAGAATGCAAGTTTTGGTTTCAGGTAGAGATGCGTGCTGTAAGTATTTCTTAACAAACTTGACATAAGTACTTGTAGTATTTTACTTTTAACAGTGAGTGCCGTACAACCTGACACCAGCACTTCCTCTTCTCTTAATGAACAGAGCCTTGGATCTGCACTGTGGCAAACGACACTAATGAGTGTTAATGTGCTCCTTTGTTTACCCTCGGGGAGATAAACCTGAGGCTAAAGGTCATCCCTGACTGGATGTGTGAGTCCTCTCCTCAGCCACAGCTTGCCAGGATGAGCTACACTTGTTTTTTAGCAGTTTCTCTGCCCCCTAGTGGCCACAGATATATTACTGGGTCCTTAAAGCAGGTTGAACAAACATCAAAACAATACAAGGCCACAGTGTTGGGAAGGCTAATTTGTAAATGTAATTTGTTACCGATTACAAGTTAATGTATTTAAAATGATATAATAGTGTAACTAGTTCAGTTACTTTATCAAAGCAATGTAATTTATTACATTAAATTTTTGATTGATGAATGTTTTCAACTGTTTTCAAAAGACAGCTTTGAGGCAGTGTAATGCAGACGGGCGGCGCTGCAAATTTAAACATGAGAACCAACCAAAAGCATCAGAACAGCATCAAACTTTACTAAACAGCTGTGGGCTGAAATGGCAAAGGAAGATGACGTGCACGTAAAAACATTCAAAGCAACTAAATGAATATTATTAATTAATATTAACATATAGATGTTAATTTTTACAGAAAATATTCATGTAATCATGAACATTTTAATCATTTAATTAAATTTTCCCAGGGACTGTAATGGATTTTTGGAAAGTTACATTTGTTTTTTTTAATAAAATGACTTAACTAATCCACAACACTGCACGGCCACTAAGTTGTTGTTATTGCTGACTAAGCTTAGCTAATCCAGCAGACACAGCTAATTAAACAATTTTAAATTAGTATTTATTTTTCAGATGTTTAATTTTAAAAAGATACATTTCAACTATAAGAGAACTGAATAATTAGCACATATTTAAAACTTTAAAAATTGATATTGTCTTCATGGGAATTACAGAATGAAGTCTTCTGTATACCGTCTGTGTCAATATTATTTTTAGTTTTGTGTGTATATATGTCTGTTTTTTTCCTCTTTGCTTCTCTTCTTAAATCTGAGCTGCGTGCGGTTTTATTTCTACTTCTGCTTCCTTGTCACGACTGAACTCGGCAATGCAAAGAATTCTCCTCCATGCTGGCTTTAAAGTTCTGCTTTTGTTAAAACTGTAAACTGTTTTGATACAACTGTATGAGACTTTAGGAGGCTGTAGTTTGTGGTGCTGTTCAACTGTTTTGCATTATTTAGTCCACACCTTGTATTTGTAAATGGGGTGGACAAAATAGTAAACACCTGTTGTATTAGACTGCACTAGTTTTGAGTGTTTATACTGTCTGTAACCGTTATACACCGTTTATAAACTGATGTAGTTATTCTGCTAGTTAGATGTGAGCGGTTTTATCATTGCCAATGTGTTTCCTTTATTTTGACAGGAAACTGTGTTTTACTGTAACAGCTCCTCCCTGCTCTTTCCCCGAAGAACAAATCAAAATGTTCTGATGTCATCTTCTGGATCAACGCCACAACGCCATCTATTTAGAGCGGAGGAGGCATCACTGAGGCAGCTGGCGTTTCATTCAAACAAGCGGAACAGACTGTGAGTATAAGAAAAACACCTGAATTTGTGTCTTTAAAAAGTTGCATTTTGTCCTCTGTGTTGTCTGCAGGACCAGAATGCACCTCAGCAGCTTGTTGCTGAGATTTTAAATGTCATCATCGGTGTGTAAACCTGTTCAGGTAGCAGGAGGAATGAGACTCCAGGAATTCACTTTCATCATCCAAAAGTGGAACAACACTGTGTGGGGAAAACGTCCAAGGGCCAGTGTTGGACTGTGTTACTTTTTATTTATTACTCCTTAAACAAGAGAAAATACTACTTTAATTATTATTCGGTATTAATTACTTAATTAACTAGTTACGTTTGTCGTTATGTTACTACATTACTTTTACTACGTCCCCGTTGCCACGCCCCTTCTTAAAAAGTGATGGACAACCTGTTCAGCAGCACACTTTAGAAATGAATCAACGTTACTGGAACAATAATTCACTCTGAAACCAGATGGTGCAATACAGAATATTGTTTACATATAGATGGCGTTTCTTAAGGACACTGGCTGAGATTAAAATAACAAAGTCACTCCTCTCTTTTGAAAAATTTTCTGCACATAAAACATACTCTGCATTATCATCTAAAATTTTTAGATAGTTCAATTACATTTGTATTCAGAGTGTCAAGTGATTACTTGTATGTGAAATAAGTCAGTCGTGGTGATAAATCCAGTGAACGTTCACTCGACTCGGCTGTTCTCTGTAGCTCTGCAGAGCATTTTTGCGTCTTTCATCTTGAATTCTTAGATTTACAACAACTTTACTGTTTTCTCACAGCTCTTATCAGCATTGTAGGCGGCTGTTTTCAGAGAAAAAGCTCTTAAAAACCCACAGAAACAGTTGGTCAGTAGCTTGCCGGTGAACAAAGCGGAGCATTAAGCAGCTAAAGAGCCAGATATTTTCCTCAGGAGTTGGTGGAGAGTAAAAACAGAGCTAAAAGGAGAGTAAATATTTGGCAGGTAGACAGATGCATAACTCCACATAATTGATCATGTTGCTCTGATTGTTGTGTAAATATGCAGCTGTGTTAAATGCAAATTTAATTAAAAATAGTATAGACCTGTAAATATTTGAGTGGCTCTCTTCAGTTTCCAGAGATTTTGAGCTGCTGGCTGTTTGAGATGCTTTTTCTCCGCACATTTCTTGTCAGAAGTTGTAGAAGTTTTATTGCCTGAGACATTGGATTCAGGTCAGCAAGTTTGAAATTGTTCTTTTGTTTTTTCAAACGCAGGAAGGAAAGTAAGGACTCCTGGTTTTGTTTGTGGGAATTTACCATCTATTTGTGCCTCTTAAGCTTCGTCCTGAACCCTCAGCTCTCATCAAATGGACGACTTCGCCTCGGCATCAGCTGGATTATCGTCACAGGGAAACATACAAATGGAAAATTTATTTGATTTTGCGGACCGTGAAGTTTTTGCCACTTCAGTCGACCTGAAAGGAGAACTCATCACAAGTTTGACGTCTTTCATAAAGCTCTACAGTCAGCGCAGAGACCGTCTTCAGAGAAGTTCAGAGAGCTTCATGCTGACAGCTGCTCGACTTCATGATGATATGCACAAGGAAGTTTCTGAGAAAAAGACGGGCCGAGGTCTGCTCACTGTGTTCGGAGGAGTTCTTGGTGCACCTTGGGGGGGCGTTTTTGGTGCAGCATTTGGGGCATTTGGAGCAGTTACTGCCACAGCTTGGGCCTGGCTTTGCGATGATATCAACGCTCTCTGTGTAACCGGTGGGTTTGTCTGCAGTGTATTTGGTGGTGTTGTTGGGGGAGCGTTTGGTGGTGTTGTTGGGGGAGCGTTTGGTGGTGGTGTTGGGGGAGCGTTTGGTGGCGGTGTTGGCGGTGCAGTCGACGTAGAAGCCACTGGTGGTCCAGTTTATGGTTTCGTCAGGGAAGCAGCGTGGTTCACCATCGGCTTTGCGGCCGGTGTTGCGATCGGTGGTACTTACGGTGGGGCGGTCGGTGCAGCAGGCGGTGCAAGTGGTGGTGGTTTCGGTGCGTTGTGTGGGAAAAGGCTTGCTGTCAATGTACTGGAAAGCATTAGTGTTTTTTTCAGAATGAAAGTTTCAAAAGCACAGAAAATTAAGTCTGAGAAGGTGACTGTGGAACAGAAAACTCAAGATTTCAGGGAAACTATCAAACCGCTGGTGGAAGAGCTGAAATCACTCAAAACCATTTGTGATCAAATGGCCGCCAGTGCTTTTGTGCGCGTTGTAGCTGGACAAACCGCCAAGACGCTGGCTTTTGTGACCACGATGGAGAAAACAATCGTTGACTCTCAGAAGGCCACAGATATGCTACAGTTTGTTTCCAGTGTTGAAGAAGCAGCGAGACAAAGTAAGACGATCACTGAGGAAGTGGAGAAGACGAGGGAGGAAGCAGAGAAACTGAGGCTGGTACAGAGACACAACAGCGAACACGTGGACTTCTTACCACACTAACTTCAGATTCTTCAGAAAAACTGAATCGTGTCCCTGCTTAAAATTGATTTGGGAAGAAATTAAATAATTACAGTAGCCATAGAAACTTTTATTTTACATATGTGTCAGTGATAATAACAGACGTGAAACTCTGAACCAAAAGAAATTGGTACCTATGTACACATGTTCTGTAAATATACGATGGTACAGACAGTTTGGGGTGAAGTGAAAGATGATTGGTCGCTATGATATGATTTGTGAATCAACCTTTCAGTGAATACTGGCAGCTTAATATGTGAAAAATACCCATAAAGCAACACTAATAGGAATACTGTTGCATACAGCAGCAAAGACTATCCCTAAATTTTAGATTTCTGTAGATCCACAATGGAAGATTTAAAACATAAGGGGGTGTTAAATGGCAAATACGCTTATTCGCTTTCTTGCTTTCATGGATTAGAACAGTGATGCCACTGTCATGCCGCTACGCATAGCTTTTTACTTTCTTTATTAATACCAGAAAATTATAATTAATTATAATAAATGAAAGGTGGGGGTGGTTTATATATTATTCTCTATGTACGATGTCTTCATGTACTCCAGGGTGGTTTGTGATACAATAAAGTTTTATTGTTTATGTTTGTTGATTATATTTTGTATCGTTAATCTAAATCTTTAAATAAGTAATGAAATTATCAAAATAAATAAAGTAGCGGAAAACTTCCTAAAGTACCTCAAAATTGTACAGTTCTTGAGTAAATGATAGAAACACCTCATTATAATGTTAGTCCAGTTCACCATCACTGACCACAACCTGAACAATAAACGTTTAGTTAAATTAAAAACTGACGGTGTCAACAAAAACTTGAAAAAGTTGAATTTATGGCTCAGGGTTAGGGGTTAGGGGGTGTTGCTCAGATGTTGTTCTGCATTAGATTTTACCTTCTATTTTTAATATACGTAATGTACTGTTTATTGTAAAGAATCTTGAAATAAAATGTATTATTATTAATAAAGTGGCCACTGAGTGTATATATTATATAATATTTTGCAGTGTTTCATCAATGAAAGATTTACAAGACTCTTCTCACCAGTGTGAAGCTTGTGTGATCGTCACTGTAGAGTTTATGAGAGCAAAATCAATTATTAAGTCATTATTCTTCTGCAAAGTGTCAGAAAGCAGTGGAAACACAGGCTGTTATAATGCGTCGAATCTGATGTAATCAAATGTCTTTGTTTTGTCCAAAACTCCCCAAAGGAATCAGATAACTCTAATGTAGGAAAAACAACTGCATAAATCATCTCATTTATAAGCTGCAACCACTGATTGCACAGAGTTAACTCTGGAACTTTGATTTGTTACACAGATCAAAACACAAACAGGGGAAGGTAATTGAAGGTCGCGTTTAAACAGACCAAAGAAACATTTGTGATTTCTTTTAGTGAAAATCAGCAGAACGTCAGGTGTGAAAACCAAAATCTACATTTTACAGATATTATAGCACAAAATATCTTCTAGACTTGTTATTTATTGCTATGCGTTGTACCCCTCTGACTATTAATCTGTATATATCGCTTTTACGTGCTGACTATAATAAGTAATTTTATTATATTTTAATTAATAACTGGCCGGGGACAACAAATGAAAATGAGCCTGTTGAGCTAACTGTGGCTCATTTAGTTTCTTAGTTGTTAATTAATGAGCATTGAGGAAAAATTAAATTTTATGAAAAATAATTTATTACAAGAAAAGTTAAATTAGTATAAGATAAAGTTGTGTTTAAAGAAAACGGTGCAATAGTATAAAAACTAAATGTGTAAACCTAAATCTGAATATAATAAAAAATAAAGTACAGTACAGATATTAATACTGTACTATAGTTTAATACTATAGTACAGTATTAATATTATTTCCCACACTTATAAATTTAGGGATTATATGGGGGGGGGGGATTGTGAGAATAAAGTTGTAATATTTTGAGAAAAATAGAATAAATTTCAAGTTTCATAAATAAAATCTTTATTACAAGAATAGTGTTCAGAGTCGGAGTGTGAATGAAAGCAGAGTGTACAATCAGGTCTGACTTGCTTGTTGCTTGTGTCATATATAATAAACCGGACAAACATGTAATATTATGCATAATAATAATAACATGCTGTGACTCGCTTGAGTCGCGCTTGAGTACACCATGAGATATTATCGCTCTCTTTCTGACACCAGGATGCTTTCACTTATCTGAAAGTATTTACTTATCTGTAAATGCTGCTTTGCATTACTTATAAACATTTTTTAAATAATTATATTTATTTCATTCTGAATGCCAGATGCATGATCTGAGTTTCCATTAAACAATGTGCTCAGTTTAGAAACCTGTGTGTAGATTTCCATGCTAGTATTTTTATTTATTTTTTTTGCCACCCTAGCCTTTTGATATTGCCGTGACATTTTATGCAAATGTTTGTGTTCCCCAGAGGATGAATTTTGACTTTTCATCATCAGGTTACTTTTGGTTTATGACCAAATACCTGCAAAAGTAATGACTTTCCCATGAGCCTTTGTGTTTACTGGCTGAACTCCCACCACCCCTCAGCTCTAAACTAAGATGGTGAACATGTTACACATTATTTCTGCTAAACAAGCCGCATTTTAGCATCGTCACTGTGAGTTTGGCGTGCTGGTGTTGGCATTTAGGTCAAAGCCTGTGGACACGATATAGGCCTGAAAAAGCAAAATGACACCAAATCAACGGTATAAAATGCTTTATTTATTTGTTGGAATGCGGAAGCAAAGTAGAAGTTTCTCATTCTTACACTACGATATTAAAAATAATTTAAATATATTACAAATCTTCAGCCTAAATTTGTGAGACCTAGTAGAGGACAGAAAGCTGGACAGTGGTCATCTATTTCAAATAAAACCAATTAAAAAAAATCATGTCTTTGAGCATTTTTAAGAACATTATCAAAAGGGTTTATGAGTGTGCCGTCTCTCTAGGTTTCTCCTTAATGCCGTTTGAACAGTCACTTTTACCTAAATGGCTCATTCTTCTGTGTAATTGTCTTAATGACCTCATGAGACATCCAGCATCATTAGCGTCATGTGCCGCTAACATTTGATTATTAAAATCAGAGAACATTTCGACAATCAGCAAAGTTTATATTTTATTCAGAAAAGGTGCCTCACTGTCACAGAAAGAGTTTGTTCTGTTGTTTGTTCTCTTGGAAACGTGCATTTTCTTTCACCTCTGCATTCTTAAGCATGCATGAGAGAGCAGGATCGTTGCCGCAGGGACTTAAATGTCTGATCTTTTGTGCTTTTTTAGCATTCAGTCTGGTCTGTAGTGTGTGTTTTTGTTTTTCAGAGGGAGATGTCTGAGCACACGTGGAGCTGTTGTCCTGGTTTCCACTTGGCGCTGCGTCGGCCGCCGTCTGTCCGTCTGTACGGCTGATTCCTTAAATCTGAAGTGGAGGACAAACAACAAACACACTGAGAAAAGACTGGTAATATCTGCCGGGGGGGGAAGGGCATTAGATTTTACTGGCACATTTATGTATGAGATAATCTGAGTCATGTCGTTGTCTTGGGAATCATTGAGATTCCCAAGACAACGTTTTAAGCTACAATTAGTTTGTGAAGAAAACTTTTATATAGACTACCTTTTAAAATGGATAATATAGCCAAAAGTATGTGGACACCCTTGTTGTGTCTTTTATTCAGTGCTGGAGGAAGTTTTCTTGCATTGAAAATGATACGTATCATCAGGAAAATGTATTTTAGATTATTATTACACTTAGTTCAAATAAAAGGAAAGCAGTAATGCCGGTCTGCACAGAGCTCAACCTCAACCCCATCCAACACCTTTAGGAGGAACTGGATTACTGGCTGTGAGCCAGACCTGATCACCAACATCACTGTTGGACCTCACTGATGCTCTTGTTGCTGAACGGGAGCAAATCCCTGCAGCAGTTTCAACATCTGGTGGAAAGGCTCCTCTAACTAATGCCCGTGGTTTTGGAAAGGCATACAGGTGTCCGTATACTTTTGGCCATGATTGTTTTCACCTGAGGATTTTACTTTCCTGGAACACGTTTGGTTCACAAATGTAGTTGGGCGTGACCAGCTAATGTCTGCATTTTCACTTACCAGAGACACCAGTTGAATGACACACTTTATTAGTTGGGTGGAGTTAAAGTGATTTTCACACAACAGCTTTGTTTGTTCATTTAAATGTATAAAACAACTTCAAAACCAAATAACGTCTGTAACATTTTCCCCATGTTTCTGTGTCTATGTGATTAACTGGGACAACATCTTTTGTAACTGGTCCAGCGTTGAGTGAGCCAGTGGCGGCTCTAGACCAATTTAATCGAGGGGGCCAGACGCTTTGTCAGAGGGGCCCATTCAATCCGGGACAAAAGAGACTAAGGCAATGTTCAAGCTTTCAAAATGTCTTGGTTAGTGTATATAATGTAATGTTTTAGTATGTTTCAGTAACAGGATCTTTTCAGTAACTCAGTTATAGTTTTATTAAATTACATTATACAAAAAAAAAACATTCCTGTTAACTTTAGCCAAGTTACATTACATTCTTTGTCATGATGTTAAAGTATAAGTATACCCAAAATTAAATACTTGATGGTAGGATGCATTATTAAATTGTTATGATAATAATTTACCCTTTAAGGAGGGGGAATTTCCAGCAACATCCAAAGGCTGTCCATGCAATGGAAACGTGGATTACAAGGACAAAATACTGTCTACAACGCCGCATTCAGTTTAATGTACATCTCGAGTCAATTAGATGTAACGTTGGGCGTGTTAAATAATAATCCGTGTGCTAGCTTGCTCTGCAAAAAATCCCGTTGATAAAACAATCCACGTTATATTTTTCATTTACTTTTTGTGAAGTCGAAAGTCCGCCTTCACCGTTGAACGAACGTGCGCTCCCGCGGCACGGGGAACTCTTTCTATCAGGGATAACTACCACGGCACGGCACCGGACAGTGGCGGTGTAGCGTCCTAAAGGATCCGACTAGTTGAGACACATTTGTTCCGCCTTTCGCATCGGCGCCGTATCGTCGCAAGGAAGATATATTACTATGATTATTGCAGACTTTTCGTTCAGAGGGGGGCCGTAGGGGGTCCAAGGTCTGTTACTGCCCTCTGTTGGCTCCAGCCCCACAAAGCCGCCACAGGAGTGAGCATGCTAAAGTGCTTGTTATGAAGAGTGTCTGCATTATAGAAAGGATCCCTACAAAGACCCTTTTTGGCCACTATATTGTTCTTGTCTAAACCACCAGACTCCCTCGGTAAAAACAGTAATTTTACCTTGTAGAATACTTGTCTACCGAGAGCAATGTAGAGACTGTCTCTGGTTAAACAAAAAGGATCTTACTCTTAAAAAAATGCATGGATCCTTTCTAAAATGACACTCTTAATAACAATCTGAGCCTGTCAGTGGCAAAAAACAAGCACTTTAGGGGGACGTACTTTGAAGGGTGCAATTGCCCGCTAGGATAACGTTGCAGCCCCGTCACTCGCTCTATACCACCGTCTTTACTAAGAACTCATTGTGTCTAAACACAACCAAACCTGAACTTTATCAGTGTCAAATCAGCAAAAGTTGCCGTTTAGTTTGAAGGACTTGTCGTTTTAAAATTAGTGAATCACATCCAGCTACTTTAATCACCTTTTTAAAAGCAGCGGACAGTTTAAATGAGCCGGAAAATGGTCTCTGGAGGAAACTCACAATGCACAAACACAGTAAACAACCTCCAAAATAATCTTTCAAGGGCAGAAAGTGTCTTTGAAATTAAAAGAAAACAACATCCATGCACTTTATTATTACGGTCTATAACAGGGAGGTCAAACATTTAAATCAGGTGTTTCATGTTCATGAATGCTTCAGCCTGTAATATGATGTTAACATGGTCAGCGAGCTTTATGAATAACTCCTATAATTGTTAGATCAGATATGAGATTTCCCCATAAAAGTTGAATACGTTGAAAGAGAGGAACAGCTGTTTGTTCAGTTCTCGGTTAGAAAATACAACATCAGAAGAGTCGAAGAGAAACACAGACCCACAGAGCGCCGAGGGATTTTAAGGAGTCACCTCGTCGCTGAAGACGGAGTCGCAGAAGAGACGAGAGGAGCGTTTGGCAGAACGAGCCGTGAAGGGCACGGACTTTAGAGCTGAAGACACCAGAGACACATCGGGGAGGGGAAGAGAGGAGGGACAAACGAGAGAGATAAGCCTTTTAAAGAAAGAAAAGGAGTGAAGAATTAAGAAGAAAAGTACAGAGCAAACAGGGTGAAATGTTTAGTAATGCAGAGAAATGAGGAAAAAAAAGAACACAGGTAATAAAATGCTTTCTTTTCAGGAGTAAGATGAGACGATTGATGTCATGCCTCTACACAGCCGGACGTCAGGATGTTGTTAGCCTAGCTTAGCATAAACACTGGAGGCAGAGGGAAACTGCTAGCCTGGCTCAGTCCAAAGTTTAACAATATGCTTGCTAGCACCTGTAAAGCTCACTGATTATGTTGTATTTTGATTGTTTAATCTTGTTCCTAAAGTTTTGTCGTCACAGCTAGGTTGCCAGGTTTGGTACCGTCATGCCCGACACCAAAACATATCTGGCAAGCTGAAGACGGATCCCAGATGATTCTATGGAAAAGCTCAGAGAAGCAGCTGTGTGGTTTACGTTAGCCCTCATCTTTAAAAAGCCTGTTCTCTAGTGAAAAATGACTGTTTGAAAACACATCAGAAACACATCAGAGAATCCTTCAATCTCCCCTTCGCGCTGCTTAAAGTAAGTTTTGGCCAAGTGTGGCCTCAGGGGACAGTCTAGAAAATGGCCTTTTTTATGCCAAAAATAGTTAATCTGCTTTCTGCATATTGCCAGTATAACAAAACATCATGTAAACTTCTGTATTGTTGCACTAAGCTTACTAAAAATGATTTTTAGCTTCCTCTATAGGCGTCTCAGACGAGTGTTTTTATAAACTGATATTCTCACATCTGGATTTTGGCAACTGGACTTTTAGAGAATAACGTTCAGAGAGGTTTTAGTTTGAAAATCATCCTTGGTGAGCTAAAACATTTAGAAAATCCCCGGGGGAAATTTCACCCTTGCTCCACGCAGTCAGTCCCGAATGGGGCGATGAAGCTGCTCTATAGTCGTATACGTATTCACATTTCCTCACTTTAACTAGTGCTAACTGTTCCACCGGTCTCCAGTGTCTACGCTAAGCTAGGCTAACCATGTCCTGACTCCACGCTGAACACAGACATTAGAGAGTTATCGACCTTCTCAGAAGAAATCAAAGTGCATGTTACCAAAATTTTGAACTTCACTTCAAGTCAGAAAACCAAATGAGGTGATCATTCTGTGGTCTAACAGACAGCACATCTGTCTCCGTGGTGTTGTGTACCTGTGATGATGTCCTCGATGGCTCCGTCCTTCCCCTCCCTCACCAGAGGAGACACCTGCCTCTTCTTCAGCTCGGCTATTAGATCCATCTGTGGCAGTTTGGACGTCACAGAAGCCTGAAACATCGAACGCGTCAGAGTTTGAATCAGACTTCCCTCTTGTCCCGCAGCCAACAACTGTGCTGTTGTTAAACAGGTACCTTTAAAACATAATTACAGCCTCTTGCATTGTATTTTGTGCGTTCTTCTAGTGAAGTCAGTTTATATTATTCACACGGCAACCTCTATCACGTCAGTGGGTAATAATTACATTCTACTCTGAGATCTGTGAATGCAGTGACATCTATGAAAGGAAGTCGAACAGGGCATGAAATACAAGCAGTCAGACGACAGACAGTTTTCTATCCAAATATAGTGCAACTTTTACCAGAATTTTTAGGAAATCTGCATCAGAAAATGAGAGTTTATGAAGTGTTTCTGTCATTTTATGTGGATATTAGTTGGTTTGTAGAGATAAACAGTGGGTTGAGCTGATTTTCCAATTAAATTCCAAGTAAATCATGACCGAAGAAGAGGGAGTAATCAGCTCCAAATGTAGAAAAACATGACGGAAATATGACATTTCTGTTCTGTTTCATGATGTGAGGAATGTAAGTCTCCTCGTCGTCATAAAAACAGGTGAATGCGAATTACCCGCACACACCCAGCTTAGCCAACATGTGATTAGCTTATTGTGATAATTTCTACAAACTCTCTTTTCACACTTACTGATCCCTCACTCAGTGTTTTTGTCCATACTGTTTTTATTTTGGGTAGGTAAGTGGTAGAGCAGCTCAGTCAGGTGAAGTTTTATGTTCCACTTTTCTTTGTTTTTGGATAGAAAATGGATCCTTTAAAAGAGTTTGAACACCCACAGGCCTTTGTCTTTATTGTTCCCTGCCTCCATTTGTACTTAAATTTAAGTGTATCAAACAACCTGGCCTTAAAAATACGTTTTATGTTAGAAACATGGGTTGTAAAACAGGCAAACTGTGAAACTATTACCCAAACTGTCTGCTGTAAACATCACCTTACTGTTTTATCTTAAATATTATAAATGTCAGTTTGTTTTCTTGAGTCTGTTTCTTGAGTTCCCAGATCTTAGTTAACCTGGTGAGCACAAACTTCTTATAACGGATAGAATTTGTGGACAAAACGTTCAAAATAAAGACCCAAGTTAAAATCCAGCAGGTGGTAGCTTTGGCGAGAATTAAAGCTTAAACTTATTTAGTTTTCCTGCCCAGCTTTACTCAGTAAGTCTACAAATACCTGTAGCTGCTATATTTTATTATACATTTTGTTACCTTGTTCCCCGTGACTTCAGGTTTAGGTGGCGTTGATGGGGCTTCACAGTTCAGGACGTGTTGTTTCTTCCTCTGCTCGTTCTCCTGCTCAGCTTGCTGTCAGAGAAAGTACTTTAATAGCATCTACATCTCTACATCTGAAGGTCAAATAATAATAAGCGTGGCATTAGCTGAAAGACTGATTGGGCTGTAAGTGTACAGTTAAAGCTGGATTTAGTTATCAGTGAAGCGGCTATCTGCGATGCCATGGATCAATAAAATGAGCGTTATCTGACCTTGTACGCTTTGATGAACCTGACAAAAACCGGGAAGAACACGGAGGGCGGCGTGGCTTTAGAGTTCTCTCCAAAGTACTCCACAGCGGAGTCATACGCATCCTGGAAGAGGGAAAAAACAGGCAAGACCCAAATAGCATCCATGTAAATATATATAAAGAAATATGTGCCGACTGTTTTCAAGACAGATTCAACATTAAAGGGTAACTTTGGTACTTTTTGGACCTTATTTTCCAATGTTTCTGCGATTAATTGAACATTTTTAAACATTTTTTTAAATGGGTCCCGTATTGACAGTGAAACAGGGCTGCAACGTAAACCGTGCACCCTTCAAAGTACTGACAGGCTCAGATTGTTGTTAGTGTCTGACAACATTATGGAAAGGATCCCTACAGAGAGAAACCTTTTTATTAAAGAGTAAGATCCTGTTGGTTTAACCAGAAACAGTCACTATATCGCTCTCATCAAGACCACCAGACTCTATTGATAAAAACAGCAATTTTACTTAGCAGATCCACGGTAGAGTTGCTGGTCTACCGCTGCCTCATGAGGTTAGTTTGTGTTATTGTTTGACCTGTTTTTTAAAAAAGGTTAATAATACCAAAGTTACATAATAATACAAACTAATATAACGATATAACAACTTTTCCTGGTTAAACAAAAAGGATCTTACTCTTTAAAAAACAAGTCTCTCTCGGTATGGATCCTTTCCACAATGTTGTCAGACACTTGTAAAAACACTCTGAGCCTGTCCAGATGGCAAAACCAAGCACTTTAGTGGTCGTGAGGATTATGTTTCAGCCCTGTTTCGCCAACTGCAGTGTGCTCACTCAATACTGGACCAATTTCTTTGCTCCAATCAGAAACATAGACACAAAAACATGAGAAAATACGTTTGAAAAATACCAAAGTTACCCTTTTAAGGTTTATTTTGGGGTAATTAAAGCTGACCTGGGCAGTTTTTCCATCAGCTGTAAGCGAGTGGAGCAGCTCGGTGTTGCTGCTGAGAAACGCCTGCAGCACAGGATTGTCTTTTTCGACAGAGAACTCCCTCCTGGTCACCTCCATGCCTCTCTCCAGAGCTCGCAGGTCCTGCAGGATGCTGTCAACAGAAACTACAAGACACAAACACGAGAGCGAGTTCAGTGTCATTTAAAAAGCAAGTTTGTGCTTGAATTTAGAAATCTTATCGCTGCTGTCTGTAACCTTGCTGAAGTCACACACCCACCATAGTTGACTTATAGTTTAAACAGCCATGTATTTTCCCCTTAGCAGTTTGTCCGGTCAGTGTTTGTCATATGCGCAACAACCACAGATCCCTCCAACAATGCTCATATAAATATGTTTGAAAAAGTCACGCTGGTAAAGTGACAGGTGTACAGTAATACTGCAAATGGATATACATTATGAGAAGAACAGGTTGTGGACAAGTCTGAACATACTACAGTGCGGTAGAAAATGTACAGTACCAGTAAGTATAGTGCAAGTAAAGCAGAAGTATAAGTGTTGTCTCTTCAGTTCTATTCAGTTTAAGTTATTGCAGTTGGGTTTTGGAAAGATTATAAACACATCACATATCATATATTTACGGACGACATCAGACTAAATTTTTTTTTTAAACCCAGTGAGCCTTTTGGATTTTCTAAACGCCCCCATGATTATGCAAAATATTGTTTCTCTCTTCTCTGCTGCCCGCTTCGAAATTTAGGTGTAATATTAGATCAAGCCGCATCATGTGACACCCACGTCAGGCAACTAACCAGATCTTTATTTTTACCAAATAAGAAATATCAGTAAATTGAGATCAGCTGAACTAGAGATGCTTGTACACGCATTTATTCTCATCACTTGTCACATGTCTGCCCTGGACCGTCTGCAGGTAATGCCACAAGGCTGCTAACTAGGGGGAATAGATCATCCCTATACTGATCCCTAACAGGTTTTAATTTTATCAACTTTTTGTCTTTATCTGTGCTTCTTTGTTAGTGTTGTTGTAAATGTGCTCACCCAACGCCGCCTTGTCCAGGAAGTGCAGCTCGGTGTAGAAGGCCTGGACGTCGCTGTATTTCTCCTGGACGATGCTGACGATGAAGTGCAGCAACGTCTGCTTGCGGTCTGTAGATTTGGTGTCTAACAGCTGGGGATAGCAAGCAGAAAACAATAATAAAAACAACAACAAAACATTCTTGGACATAAAAAATAAATAAAATACTAGTTAAGGACTCACCAAATCTAAACTCTGCAGGCGGAAGCCGTACGCTGCATCTCGTTTGCTGCTGTTCATGTAGTTTCCAAATGCTAAGATGATCTTTACATCAGAAACAAAGAGTTGGATTGTCAAGTTTACAAACAGTCCAAAGATGCCAAGTAACAAATAGTAGAACTGTTGTTTGTACATAGAAGAGCACAGCCCACATTTTTTCAAAAAGAACAAAACTTCCTACTTTCCTATCCCAAAATACTAACAAAAGGTTCCTTTCTAAAAGTATTTTCTACGTTGCTATAAAGGAGTGTAGTTCTTAAATCTTTAAAGAGCAATTAAACATAAAATGGACTTCAGTCTCATCTAAAAGACTTACCATGAAATGATAACGCGCCTGTCGTTACACTATAGTTATTTTTATGAAACATGTTTTCTTTCCTTACATGAGGAGAAATAACTGTTATTTAGATGTGATATGAACTCTCATGCTCACCACTGACTTTAAACACGGGTAAAATAATACTTTATTTTAAATGACTTGAAATTAAACGCAATTTTATCCCTCAGCTGACCTCCTAACTAATTTAGAGTTCAGATTCCTGTTAAAAGGGTTATTCAGCTTCAAGCCTGTGCAATTAACATCCAACTGTGCAGTTCTGCTCCACTAATGACTCCATATCCCACAGCACGGAGACATAATGTCAGAGGAAAAATCTTAAATTTAAGCCTTACTCAAACATCAGCCGGCACTCTATTGCACTTTATCCTTGGTACTGTTCTTACCTCAAGGATTTTCTTCAGCTTGCTCGAAGATTTGATCGACATCGAGGCAGCAATGAGGGCATTAAGTTGCTGTCAGAAAGAGTTGAACCCATTCAGATTATTATCAGAACCCAGACTTACATGTAGTTTGAAGCATATAACTGCAAAAATAGAGTCAGTTATGATGTTTTAAGGATGACGAGTAAATTAAGTATTGAGGTGTTACAATAATAATTTCCCTCCTAAAACAATCTTATCACAGGGCTACTTCCAGGAGGAGGTATACATCTCCTCTGCATAGTTTATAAGGGACTGGATGCCTCCTACCTCACTTCATCTCTAAAATACAGTTCAAGATAAATACTCCCATTAACCCCCCCCCCACACACACACACACACACACTTCCACCACCTCGTGAACTCACAGGCTGTATTAGCTGGACACTCTCGGGGAAATTGCCCATGAAGGTGAGAGTGCTGATCCGCTGGGGAAGCCGCGGGATCTTGCTGAAGCGCACCATGAAGCGGTCCTCCTCGCTGAGCTCGTCCAGGGGCCTGCCCTCACACTCGTAGTTGTGGATGAGCTTCATTTCATACTCTGTGGGGATGAAACGCTCCAGGAGCTCGAGAAAGTCCAGGCTCAGCGCTCTCTGGTTATACCTGTGGGGACGGCGGTGATTTTAACTGGAGGTATCTTGTGTGGAAGAATAAAGAAACAGTTTTATATCATTGGTACATACGTCTCTATTGCACAGCAGATGTCAGATGCAGCCATTCCCTCCTTGCGCAGGGTGATAGCCAGGTTTTTGGCCCTGTTGGGCTCCATTAGAGACACTTTACTGGGAGTCTTGTGGGCCAGTTTCATCTTGAGGGTCCCCAGCTCTACAGGAGTGGACTGGGCCTTGGTCTTGAACTGCTCCTCAAAAGCAGCCATGTTCAGCTCCTAAGAAAGGTCCGATGAGGAAATGGAGAGACATTTGCAGAGATGATGGATGTGGTTCATGGTTCGGGTGGTGCACTGAGAAAAAACCTTAGATAATAGACTTTTTTCACAGCAGACATTTTGGCTTGTCGCAGGTAGAAGTTGAAAGCAGAATGTGTTTCACCTTCACGGCAACAGCTTCTTCCCCCGAGCTGTCAGACTTTTGAACACTATGCTGCCGTCCACTGCATGAGCAACAATCACAGTACTTTGATGCTGCTAATATTTAAGTATACATATACGGTGTCAAATGCAAGATAAGGGTTGCACTATGCACTTTATAATGCTTCAGTCAGCTTAAACTGAACTGGAAATAATTGTTTTAGACCAGGGAGACATTTAAACACTAAATAAAGGATCAAATCATGGTTTTGGGTGTGTCGGGTTTTGGTTTCTAGTGTTTTCCTGTGTTTCCTTGTAGTTTTAGGGTTTCACTATTGTTTCTGGTCTTGTTTTACTACCTTTTATTTCATAACATTCTTCCTGGCATGTTTATTAGTTTTCCTTGTAGCCTATTAGGTGCGTTTGAGATGAGCTGCAGCTGACTGCAAGGCAGGTCAGACACGTTCTACCTGCGTGAGCTTACTGTGAGCTGAGATCAACGACTGATCTGATCAAAAGATGGTTCCAACTTTTCAGGTTTCTCTTGATTAGCTCATTAGTTGCACCTGAGTATGATTATGTTGTCAACACATCTTGTTTTGCCCATGGACTATGTCACTATTGTTTGTCACCTGCACAGCTAATTAAAACTCACTTAACTTAACTTACCTGCGCCAAGCTTGGCCCAAAACCCCCCCTCTGTTGTGTAGCTGGTAGCTAATTAAACTACTGTAGAACCGTAACTGTGTACCAATGTACTGCAAATTTACCTGCGTGACAGAAGTCAGTTTCATGTTTTTATTACAAGCAGGTTCTGAAGATGAAACAGATGCAGTATAAATATCTGCTATGGACCTATATTACATATACAATATATGAAGAAGAAACAGTTACTCAGACGTTCTCAAACTAATATTCAAATTAACAGAAAATATTTCTTCTGGAGACGTAAAATTGTTTATAAGGGACTCTATGCACCCTGAGTATGTTCCAGTGATTAGAAGAAAATGTAAATTTGTTCATTATAAGCCAAAATGGACAGATATTCAGAGTCCTGCTTATTGAAGAGATGTTTTGCAGTCCGTCTTTAGAAACATTCATAGTGTTTAGGGGATCTATAAAATGATGCGCTTCTTTATTATAACTGAACAGCCTGATTTTAGAAACGTTGCCTTTTTACCAAACATACATCTGTAAAGCCAATAAACAAACTCTTTGTCATGAAGACATAATAAATATTTAAATACATTTAGAGAATGACTCGACTGTGAGAAACAGAATGGATGTAGGAGAAGTTTAGTGCATTCAGTATGTGGTGGAAACAGGGACATCTAGAGGCAGACACTGGAAACACAAACTGGTCAAACCTCCAAGACTTGCTCGTCGTCCAGCTCGTTAAAGATGGTTCCTGCCACCTGGTTGGATTTTAGCGCCTGCCAGTTTAACAGCGGCATGCGGTACTTTGTTTGAATGGCCTTCTTTTTTTTACAGCCTGGAAGAAAGAATGAAAACAATGATATATCAACGTAGTCACCGTTTATACAAAACATTAATGATTTTGTTCTAATACAATCTAATGCAAAATCTCCTTGTCATTAGTCTTTAAAAAAATCTGTTTACACATCATGTAATAGTCACCTATTCTGCCTTCATGAACATGCTTTGTGTGTGTTGTTTTTTCCTTCACATGTAAAAAAGAAACTGTTAAATCTTCCTTTATGTAATTTTTTTCCTTAATGTTTTGGTGTCGGATACGTTTTAAAAGGAGAGTGGGAGGTGATGTTTAGGGTGGACCTCTAGAGTGCGACAGGTGAAGCGGTCGGACGTTTAGGGGGGACCTCCAGAGTGCGACAGGTGAAGCGGTCGGACGTTTAGGGGGGACCTCCAGAGTGCGACAGGTGAAGCGGTCGGACGTTTAGGGGGGACCTCCAGAGTGCGACAGGTGAAGCGGTCGGACGTTTAGGGGGGACCTCCAGAGTGCGACAGGTGAAGCGGTCGGACGTTTAGGGGGGACCTCCAGAGTGCGACAGGTGAAGCGGTCGGACGTTTAGGGGGGACCTCCAGAGTGCGACAGGTGAAGCGGTCGGACGTTTAGGGGGACCTCCAGAGTGCGACAGGTGAAGCGGTCGGACGTTTAGGGGGGACCTCCAGAGTGCGACAGGTGAAGCGGTCAAACGTTTAGGGGGGACCTCCAGAGTGCGACAGGTGAAGCGGTCGGACGTTTAGGGGGGACCTCCAGAGTGCGACAGGTGAAGCGGTCGGACGTTTAGGGGGGACCTCCAGAGTGCGACAGGTGAAGCGGTCGGACGTTTAGGGGGGACCTCCAGAGTGCGACAGGTGAAGCGGTCGGACGTTTAGGGGGGACCTCCAGAGTGCGACAGGTGAAGCGGTCAAACGTTTAGGGGGGACCTCCAGAGTGCGACAGGTGAAGCGGTCGGACGTTTAGGGGGGACCTCCAGAGTGCGACAGGTGAAGCGGTCGGACGTTTAGGGGGGACCTCCAGAGTGCGACAGGTGAAGCGGTCAAACGTTTAGGGGGGACCTCCAGAGTGCGACAAGTGAAGCGGTCGGACGTTTAGGGGGGACCTCCAGAGTGCGACAGGTGAAGCGGTCGGACGTTTAGGGGGGACCTCCAGAGTGCGACAGGTGAAGCGGTCGGACGTTTAGGGGGAACCTCCAGAGTGCGACAGGTGAAGCGGTCGGAAGTTTAGGGGGGGCCTCCAGAGTGCGACAGGTGAAGCGGTCGGAAGTTTAGGGGGGGCCTCCAGAGTGCGACAGGTGAAGCGGTCGGAAGTTTAGGGGGGGCCTCCAGAGTGCGACAGGTGAAGCGGTCGGACGTTTAGGGGGGACCTCCAGAGTGCGACAGGTGAAGCGGTCGGAAGTTTAGGGGGGGCCTCCAGAGTGCGACAAGTGAAGCGGTCGGACGTTTAGGCGGGAAATCTAGAGTGCGACAGGTCAATCGGTCGGACGTTTAGGGGGGGCCTCCAGAGTGCGACAGGTCAATCGGTCGGACGTTTAGGGGGGACCTCCAGAGTGCGACAGGTCAATCGGTCGGACTTTTAGGGGGGACCTCCAGAGTGCGACAGGTGAAGCGGTCGGACGTTTAGGGGGGACCTCCAGAGTGCGACAGGTGAAGCGGTCGGACGTTTAGGGGGGACCTCCAGAGTGCGACAGGTGAAGCGGTCGGACGTTTAGGGGGGACCTCCAGAGTGCGACAGGTGAAGCGGTCGGACTTTTAGGGGGGACCTCCAGAGTGCGACAGGTGAAGCGGTCGGACTTTTAGGGGGAACCTCCAGAGTGCGACAGGTGAAGCGGTCGGACGTTTAGGGGGAACCTCCAGAGTGCGACAGGTGAAGCGGTCGGAAGTTTAGGGGGGACCTCCAGAGTTCGACAGGTGAAGCGGTCGGACGTTTAGGGGGGACCTCCAGAGTTCGACAGGTGAAGCGGTCGGACGTTTAGGGGGGACCTCCAGAGTTCGACAGGTGAAGCGGTCGGACGTTTAGGGGGGACCTCCAGAGTTCGACAGGTGAAGCGGTCGGACGTTTAGGGGGGGCCTCTAGAGTGCGACAGGTGAAGCGGTCGGACGTTTAGGGGGGACCTCCAGAGTGCGACAGGTGAAGCGGTCGGACGTTTAGGGGGGACCTCCAGAGTGCGACAAGTGAAGCGGTCGGACGTTTAGGCGGGAAATCTAGAGTGCGACAGGTCAATCGGTCGGACGTTTAGGGGGGGCCTCCAGAGTGCGACAGGTGAAGCGGTCGGACGTTTAGGGGGGACCTCCAGAGTGCGACAGGTGAAGCGGTCGGACGTTTAGGGGGGACCTCCAGAGTGCGACAGGTGAAGCGGTCGGACGTTTAGGGGGGACCTCCAGAGTGCGACAGGTGAAGCGGTCGGACGTTTAGGGGGGACCTCCAGAGTGCGACAGGTGAAGCGGTCGGACGTTTAGGGGGGACCTCTAGAGTGCGACAGGTGAAGCGGTCGGACGTTTAGGGGGGACCTCCAGAGTGCGACAGGTGAAACGGTCGGACGTTTAGGGGGGACCTCTAGAGTGCGACAGATGAAGCAGTCGGACGTTTAGGGGGAAATCTATTATTTATTTATTCTATTTATCTCTAAATACACGTTGTTAAACTTTTTTGTTAATTTACATTTTTATTAAGTTTATACAGCTGCAGTTTGAGTGTTTATTGGGGTTATTTAGGTTTTGTTTAACTGAAGTAAGCAGGCCGCTGGCTGTAATCACCTCAGCAGGTATCAGATCCGCCCGTTATCTTATATTTTGCATAATGTACTTTTTCCATTGCTGTTTTGGTGTAAGGCGAATTGTTACAATCATTCCCTAATAAATACACTTTTTCATATTAACCCATTGATGAAAAGGCTAATATATCAATTTTTCAACATATTCTCATTAAATTAATCAATTTATGGTTATAGATATTTTTTCAATTCAATTTTATTTATTGTTCTAAGTTGTGATCAGTAGCAAACTTCCAAGAACCGTGGGTAAGATACGTGCATTTAGATTCTGCTCATCAGTTCCTAACTTTTTGCATATTTCAGTCACGCTCCCCATTGAACTGCAGACTTATGGACTTTACAGTTATACAAGTCCCCTCTCAAGGACAGGACTCCTTTCTCTTTAGCCATGAAGGGGAAGATGAGCGAGGAGGAAGAGGATGAAGATCACCAAGTGGTTGGAATCAGAACCGAGATAGGCCTACTATAAGAACCGGATTAAAATTAGTCAGACGCTGGAAAAAAGTCAACATGAATTTTTAGAAAATAAAATACCTGAAAGCTGTTTCCCCTGGTGGTCAAAAACGTTCATAACGTGACAGTTTCTAAATTAAAGTCACATAAAAGTGAGCCTGTAAAATGTCAATGCCTCATTAGCACTGACATGTTCCTGCTCTGATGTGGACTCACCTGAGCTCCCTTCAGTCCCGTCCCCTGATGGCTGGGTCGTACCACCTCCAGGAGGCAGCAGGGGCGGTGGAGCTGCTGGTGGAGGAGGAGGAGGAGGAACAGGGGGGGTTCTAGTTGAGCCTGGAGGTGGAGGAGGGGGAGGAGGTGGTGGAGGAAGAGCTTGCACTGTCGCCGCCTGCTGAGGACCCTCAGAGAGGTGAGGCTGAGGGTCTGAGGAGGGGGGAGGGGCCTTGTGGTCATTACCTGAATCTGCTTCTTTAACTGCCAGGGAAACAACGATACTGTTAGTTTTACATCTCGTCTCTGTACATTTATAAAACAAGACAAGTATTAATGTGATAATGCTTTAGGGGACCTTTATTTCCCAATAACTTCCTGATTAGTTCTTCGTTTCCTGAAGGAACTGCGTCTAAGAACTCACTTCGAACTCAAGTAAATATTTATTCATCATTCGCTGATTATTGGAAACTTTGTCCTTCATATTTGTTAAAAGACTCAAAGTTAGATGAAGTAAGTAAGTGTACAGTTTTGACTTTGACTTGAGCCAGATGACATAGTTCTTTGCAGGAAACTGAACTACTTTGAACTTTTCCCTGAGTGCACCACCTCTAAAGTGAACTGTGTTCAGTCTGAACCTTAACAAATAGACTGGGTCAGATTAAGTTGAATTAAACTCTTTGTCAGTAAATTCAATCTGTGGTTGGTGAGAATTTATAGACATTATGAGGCCACTTCATGAAAGTTAAGTTTGTCACCTTGAACCAATTTAATATATCCTTCGTATTATTATTATCACAAAATGTAGACACACTTTAGATCAGAGGTTCTTAACAATCTGCACTTTGAGACACATTTATTATTAAATCTGGTCCACAATTATTATTTCCAATTCAGATTTTTCCACAGTCTTTTATTTTAGAGCAATTATTTTCTAGCAAAGCTTGGCACTTGACACCAAAATGTCTTTTCTAATTTTTTCATGGAGTTTAAGGTGACGGCTTCCTGTCTCAAGTTGATTCTCTACAAAAATAAAATCTTAAACGTCATGACTCTTCCAGTGAGCTACATGAGAGAGGGAAGAGGAAAAGATAAGTTGCTCAGCTTCAGAGTGAATATTAGAGTTTTATTGTTAGAACTGCCTAACTTTATTATTATTATTAAATATTTACTACTACTAATAATTTGTATTTTTATTGCACCTTTCACAGGACGCTTTACACATAACAACAGAGACAGAACAACAAAAGGTAATTCAGTCTGGAGGTGTGACAATCTAACAGCTCTGACCTGTCTGTATCACGTGCTGGATGACGGGGACCACCTGAACCTCCAGGTGTCCAGAGGAGGAGCGCTCCATTCGGATCAGCCCCTGCTCCACCAGAGCCTGAACTTTGACCTCCAGCTCCCTCAGGGCCTGGGTGCATCGGTCCTTGTCTCTCTCTCGCTCTCTCTCCCGCTCACGTTCCAGCTCTCTCTCTCGTTCTCGCTGCTGCAGAAGAGTCACCTGGGAGCAGGACTCACGTAGACTCTCCTGCAATAGACACGCATATCGTCTTCAAATGTCACGCATAGAGGAAAACTACACTTTATTAAAACCTGGCTTTTATTCTTGGAGCTCTGGCCTCATCTGTTTACTAAAAGTCTGTCTCAAAACAATGCTCACATTCACGTATGTACATCAAAGCTTTTGCCTGCTGTAATAATTCTTCCTGTTTTTACTGGATGTTAAAACATAATTGTGTCAGCCCTGAGTAGTGTCTGCAGGTATTCTCTATTAGGCCGCAGACACCCCCCCCCCAACAACGTAAGGTAGGGCAGCCTGTAAGTAGCCTGAGATGCAAAAGACTGTGGTGGCAGGACAGTTGGAGGATCAGGTTTGGAGACTTTTGTAAGAAATTCAACCTGAAACACTGAAAGTAAGGCGGACATTACTGACGGACATGAAATTGCCCTTGGTCAATCAGACAGGTTGTAAACCAGCTGATAGTGTGATCAAATTAGCTATGACTTTATTTGTAGGTAAAGCTGGAAGTGAGATATGTTGCTAACGGCTGTGTGTGTGGTCAAAACTGAACCACAAGGTCAGAACCTGGGGGATCATCTTTTTTATGATATAATAGACACAACCGCTGGATGAAGCCATTAAAATAAAACCCCTCCCTTTAAGAAAATGAAATGTAAAGATGAAGGCCCAATCCCAGATACGTCCCCTCTAAGCCCTGAACCCTCACATACTTAACGGACGTCACTTGGTAAGTGATTGAGTGCAAGAGGCTGCAAGGAACGGGATAGCACTTTGCCACAAAATCAAAAAATTTTTGCAAGATTTGCAGGTTTACAAAGTGTAAAAAAAAAAAAAATCTCTGAAAACATTATTTTGTTTTTGAGTCTTCTTCAGAATTGCAACACACTTTTTTTCCCGATCATTTTTTCGGAGTTTAAAATTTGTCAGTGTTCTCCCAGTGCATTAGTTTGTTTTCCAGGTTTGAAACCTTGTAAATGGGGTTCTGAAAACTGGTGTGCGAATGTGTGAAAACAAGTTCTGACACTGCCCCTGCCTCCAGGCTTTATTTTTTCCTCCAGTTGCGAAGTTGCGGTGCAGCAGAACTCCCCAACACCTGTGAAAACTCTGATGTGTAAAACAGTATCAAGTAGCGCACACGTGATATTTGATCCTTGATACCATCGAGATAATAAAATCCTGTCTTTGTATAGTACTTACTGTAATCACATGCTTCATTTTCGCTCAGTCTGAATTTTAGAGCAGAGCTGCGTGACAACGCTGCCACAAATCATGTGAGTCGCAAGCTTGCAACTGTGTGGGCGTATCTCCACAAAGCTCTGAAAAAATAGTCTGAAATATGAGTGCAAATGTAATGTAAGAAAGTTTCGCCCTTTCGAACCTCAGTTTTCAGAGTTTCAGAACTTGTTTTCACACATTCGCACACCAGTTTTCAGAACCCCATTTAAAAGGTTTCAAACCTGGAAAACAAACTAATGCACTGGGAGAACACTGACAAATTTGAAACATCATAAAAAAAAAAGTGTTGCAATTCTGAAGAAGGAAAACTCAAGAACTTTTTCGATCTTGCAACACTTTTTTTTGTAAGATTTTGAGTGTTCAGACACTTCGTTTCAACCTTTCAGAACTTTATTTTCCGTTTTGAAACACGGCAGGATATTTATCCCGTACTATGTACCATCTTAACTCGAGGCAAAAAATAAATTCTAACAATTTTAACATCAGCGTTGGTTTCCATGCTTGTTTGTTTACTGTTCTTCTTCTTCTTCTTCTCTTTTAAGGCAGATTTGCCTTCCGCTTCCGGGCTTCCCATGGTAACCCCTGTGTTTCACGTCACTACGCTAGGAACTGTGGGAAATTCCCTCAGCTAAAGTCTGCAGAAATGCAGACTTATGAAAAGGGCTCAAAATGTCCGCGAGAGAGAGATCTCTCACGCACTTCACGTTTTGACAGTGGGACAGCCCAAAGCCCTCACGGACTTACCGGGAACGCGCCTCAACATCTGTGAGCCTGTGAGTCTGAGTGTGGACACTGGGATTGGGCCGAAGATGGCGTACTGTACCTTTAGGAGCTCCACTTCTTTTGTGGTCTGAATGAGCTGCTTCTCCAATTCTGAGATTTTCTCCATGGCCTCCCTCTCGCTCTCCTGAAGCTGGGTGCTCAGCTGACACAGAAGCACAACTTTCATTTATACTTTGTGATTATCTTCGTCTTTATCAGTGAGGGATTAAGTGAAAATACGCACTGTGAACATCTGCATGTATCTACCTGTGAGTTGTGCTCCTGCAGTTCCTCCATGTGTTCCAGCAGAGCGTTCTTGGTCTCCGCGTCCTCCAGCAGAGCGCCCACATCAAACACATTGTCCAGATAGGCCTGGATCTGCACCAGCAGTCTGTCGCTCTCTGTGAACTTCAACTTCTGCAAACGGAGGATATTTAAAAAATAATCGCTGTGATGCACAAGATGAATCTTGCATATTGTGCTCTTGATTCAACAGTGGATTCTTTAGGGTATAGTCAGTCTAAGCTGTACGATAAGGACAACAAGGGACTATATGTCAGTAGGGTCAAAGGTCAATCTTGCCTCAAGGTAGTCATCCAGCCCGTGATGAGTGAACTCATACTGGAGGAAGACTCTGAAGTTCATGTTTTCCACCGAGTGCACCACGATGTTGATGAACTGCATACAGGCCACCTGGTGGGCAGACAGAGTACGTTTCTTTTAGCTGCCGTTTGAAGACCTCGTCTACGAAGAGAAGTGTTTTCCCAAAGTGTGCAACTACAGGTGTGATTGTTGTGTTTGGTAAGGAAGATATGAGTCAGATCAGAGTGAGCTGAGCAGGATCCAGCAGTCGGTGCTTTTGATTAAGGAAAATAAACACTGAACTTGTTATTGTTGGATTCTCTAAAGGTTCTTTCTCCTTCCACGTAGAGCTGCAAAGATTAATCGATTAATTTGATGGACAGAAACTTAGTCGACAGCCCGTTTTGGAAAATCCATTTAGTGTTTTTGTAATAATATGAGAATAAGCTTCTTTTCATTGTCTTAACATTATTGCAAACCAAATATAGTTGGTTTTCAGTTGGTCGCACAAAAAAAAAGACAGCGGATGACGTCGCCTTGTGCTCTAGGAGCCTGCTATGCATTTTTCATTGTTTTCTTCTGTTTTATAGACCAGACTATTACGATTACAAAAATAACCTGTAGATGCATCGCTTCCTCCACGTCATTTGAGCAAACTAACTCTCTTTTGTAGCTTTAAGTTTACGCTGTATTTACTGTCTCATGATTGTTTTTGTTGACCTGACAGCTCGACTGCATTCAGTCATGTGTTTATAACATTAAATGCAAAACACAACAAGGACTCCACAGCTTTCCCCACAGACCACACGTGTGTTTACAGTTGTGATCTCGTGGGCTGAAGCAAAATTAGTTGAAGAAAACTGGGGAAAATGAAAAACTATTCAGCTGTATGCACTCACCCATTTTACATAACTGCACACAATCTGTTTAATTAATAGAGACATTTGTCAACAGCTCTAAGAGCTTTCTATTTCTATTATAGGACGGCATGATTGAAATTATTATATGTGAACATTTTTCACAGTAGCACTAATTATTTCCAGACAGCGATCAAACGTAGGTGTAAAATTTGTAAATATGCAACTAATCACATTATTTTACACAGTTTACATGGTTAAGAATTTATCTTGTGTAGCTCTATAACTAAAGAAAACTCCACAGACTCATCACTGTTGAGTTAACTGTTATTGCTTCCCCAAGGTATCGATCCCACTGATGCAGTATGCGTTAATACCTCTTACTAGTAGATCTCTTACTTTACTAACGTCAGTCGTTTTGAATAAAAGCGTTTGTAAAATTAGTAAATGTAAAAACTATCATCCTTTTTTCCCCACACGCCTGGTGCCAGTTTGGTCGGCGATGCGGGTGCGTTATGTTAATGTAGCCTGCAGCAGAGATGACCAGCAGGCTGCAGAGGTCTGGTGAACTCTACATTTCATTTTCACACTTTCACACTTTAACCCTGACCGACGAAGTGACATCACTTTAGGACATTTATCAGACTTCAGCTCCCTCTGGAGACACTATACTAATACTACTATGCAGCAGAACTCCCCAACACCTGTAAACACTCTGATGTGTAAAATACATAGTTGTCCTTAAGATTTTACTGCTGATTTATCAGCATCAGTATTGTCAGTATCAGATGACCAGGACCAGTATCAAGTGAAGCACACGTGATGTTTGATCCTTGATCCCATCGAGATATTAAAATCCTGTCTTTGCATAGTATTGCTCCACCTGTATTGGATGTTTGACTGAGAGATTGTTATTGTTTCAGCCTTCGCATATTCTGGACACACAGTCACACTTTACCATGAAGTCGATGTTGCTGTCTTCATTTTGGAAATACTCCATGAGCTTTTCAAATCGACTTCTCTCGCCACACACCTGAAACACGATAAAAAAAAGGAGTGAGAAAAATCATGAGATCACAGCAGGCAGCCGGCAGAGTGAAACTACGGATTATCAGGCTTTGTGATTCATTGCTGATGCGTTAAATCTGGGTGACGTCCTTTAAAAGAAGCTTCTGATGATAAATAAACTTGTATTTCTTTTTGCATCATGCTTTCTTCACACAGGGGGGCAGTGTGCTCACACAGAAACTATATTACAGCAATGCATCTATCTATCCATCTAGACTTTGTATTGTCCTGTTTCAGGTTCAGTCCAGTTCAGGGACAAACAGTAAATAATAACTAAAACCAGTGCTGCCTTCACATCCTGCAGGATCATTGCTATGTAACACACAGTCTACTGTGTTCTGCTTTCTGCAGGCAAACCGTTACATAAACAAGGCTTCAGTGTTTCCCCCGCACAGGGAAGAGAGCATGTTTGCGTGGTAGAAAAACTCAAATGATGATGCTAAATGTTGATTGTGCTTTTTAACTAACAGCTCAGCAGTTTTCTGGTCTCATCTGTTAGCAATATATGTCCATGTTTGCGGTCTTTTACTTTGCCTCCCCCCTTTTTGCCTGCTCATGTCTGCTTAATAATGCAGCAGCACGCCAACCTCACAGCCTGCACAACCCAAAACAATGCCCACGTTCTGCTACTGAGGGACACATAAGCCAGCTCCTGGCTCAGCGCCCGCCTGCCTCTACTTTACGGCCACGAGCAATCCACCGCTCTCTCCCTCTGGCACTCGCCCACACACATAGTGCCGTTGCTGCGGTACCAAAACAAGCAGCACTTACTGTGACACTCAAGTCAGCACTAATCAACCAGGTGAGGGGAGGGCCGAGGATTTAGTACCTACAAATAGTCAGTGTATTTTTATTTTATTTTTTACTTTACTGAGGCAACAAATCCCATTAAAAGCCAAAACTAAGGATGAATGTATCCACCAACAAGTGTTGGATTATAATGTGTGTTCTTCCTCTGTGCCATCGAGCTCCATTGTTGTCTAATTTTGTCCTATTTGAGTAACATTTGCTAAAAACTACAGAGAGCAGCTTTAAATGAAACTATATATTTGTGAGGTGTTTTTAAAGACTTGCAGCTGAAAGTCACAGGCACAGTAGGAAGGCCAGAAATATAAATGATAAAATAATACAAGCACAATATTGTGATGTCTTGTAGGGCAGGGAGAATATCAGTGTTTGTTGTTGTTTTCTTGGTCTGGTTTTGTGAATGGTTGTGGAGTGTATCGTTTTTTTATGATTTTAGGTTGTATCATGTAAATACCGTGTAGCTTCACTGAAGAAGTTTCAGAGAAACTAATAAATGAAATCGCAGACTTTTAATGTGTCTTAGCACAGGAATAGCACAGGAATTAACACCGCTGTCACATTAATTAGTGTTTTGGTGGTGGAGCTTCTTCAGCCGTTATTAATGTTCTTATTTACACCTGTGATTCACCGCCGATCAAAATATCTTCCATGAAAAATGCATATGTTCCCAAATTACATCTAAAATAATGAAATAGATGGATTAACAAAAATGTAAAAACTAATTGTGTTCATTTTTATTTAAATTATTCGTTTTTGTAAATCACTATCATGATGTGATAATATCATCACGATACAATAATATTTAAAGTTAATATTTTGTTTCTGTCTTATGTACTCGCCCTGGCTAAATCCACAATTTGAGAAAGATCCGACTAAAAATTACACACACTTAAATTCAAATAACAATGAGTGAAGTCAAACTGTCTTTAGTAAAAGACCATTAGAGCAGCCATTCAATCTAATTAAACTGTTAAGAAAGGTTTCTGAAATTGGATGGCGGCAGCTCTGGGCTATTGCAAGGAAATTAAAATAGTGGTCAAGATCCGAATCCAAAAGCAACTGTGGTCTAGCAGACAATGAAATCTCGCTGTAGCGCTTGTTGCAGGGCAGGTTTCTAACATCCTGGACCTTTACTAATAATAGACCCTCCTGGTTCAGGTTTAAGCTCCTTTCTGTCTGCGTTGTTGGAGCCACAAGAGGCGACCTGTTCGCAACAGTTGCTGCTTTCTCAGGCATAGATGAGAGAAGGCCGAGAGGTCGGAGGCAACGCAACAAGTGTTTCACATATTTACGCCTCTTCAGTCAGTTTAGTCTGGCGGTGGGGCAACTGGGCAGAGCAGCTGACGGGGGGTGGGAGGGGGGCAGGTGGGTCTGGGGTTCCCCTTAACCTGCTTTTAAATGCATTAAGGGGCCACTGGTATGCGGGTGCTGAAACATAAATATCTCCTCTATGTTAAGCACAAGACCAGTTTAAAATAATGTCTGTATGTGGGTTGAGTCATCCCTGCTGACGCTTGTAATATAGGTTGTGTTGGAGATTAACAGAGAACTTTAATCTTCCCTACAAGTGACAAGAAACGGAGGTTTTGCTCAAGGACGATTCTCGCTCTGCACTCCCGTGAGAGGCGAGGTGTTGCGCTACGACAACGGTGGAAAACCGAGTTGGAGAGAGGAGTTTGCAAGCAGCTCCTCTGCGTTCACAACAAACTCCTCTCCCTCGTTTCCACTGCCGTTTCCTGCAACAAGTCACCTCTCACGAGTTTTCAGAGCGAGACTTCAGTTTCGGTTTTACTCTGGGTCACTCGTGGGGATACTTTCCATGATGTTGGCAGGTTTTAGGTATAATAGCCTGAGCACTTTGTCATTTTGGCATCTACTGCACGGATTCAAACATGTTCTCCGCCTACGAGTCATTTCAGTGTGGAAAAAAGGCCCAGGTTTAAAAATACCGAAATTATCCTTTAAACAATACGTGTGTATTCTTGCAGCATAACCGGCTATAATCATTTCCAAGATGACAAACTATTTCAGTCAAATCTCTGACCAAGTGATCTTTCCTGATTAGATTAGTTTTAATCATCTGTCTTAAATCCATTAGTTTCCAATTTTAGACACTGAACTTGTTAGCAATTAGTTGCTTATTTCTACATCCAGCAATTACGGCGCAAAGTTATCATTTATTTGGTGTTTCTGACTCCAATATTCTCTCTCTTTAGCTCTGGTTCTGGTCTCAACCGACTCCTGAGGGAAATATCTGGCTCTCCGGCTGCTAAACGCTCCTCTACGTTCACCTGCTTCAGCTGCAGCCGACAATGTCACCATGAGATTAAACTAAAAAAACAAACAGTCAAGTTAAACAATGAGCTGAAACTCACTGTGCAGCTCTGTGAAGCTGCCAGGGAGCTGCAGATTCAGCTGGTAATTCTCTGCACGTTCATCAATACTTTTAACATTTTGTTCAGCTGCTTGTTTTTAGACATTTCCTGTTAACATTTTAGAACCAAAAATAGCTTCTTCAGAAAATCCAAATAAGTATAAGTGTTTTGGTATTGATGGAAAAACTTGGGTATCATCGTGGCAAAAATCCAAAGGGTGAGTTAACCTTCACTTAAACATCATGAACATCATCAACACCCTGATGGTGAGATCAGCAACCACCCAAACGCCTCCTCAGAACAGATGCAGATGCAGATAAACATGTCTGAACGTAGTTTAGAAGAAGTCTAAAGACCTCTTTGAAGTTGTCGAAGGCGGAGAGGATGATGTCATGGCCTCCTCTCACCAAACACACGGCCGCCAGCAGCTCCAGCACCAGCGCCTTGGTCCTGAGAAGCACAATGTTTACGTTTATTCTTTTATACGTGTTTTCTATCTGTCCATTAGATGTATTATGAGGGAAGTTTTAAAGTTCATGCTCCAAACCTCGGGTTTCTGTTGTTGAGGCTGAGCGTGATCTCGTTGACACAGCAGGGATGCTTCATCACCAGGTTGAATCCAGTCTGACAACACACATGAAAATTTTAATAAACTATAACAGGCTGCTTTAAAGGTCAAACAAAAAGTTTTATCTTTAAGCTTGACACAAGACTGGATGAAGCGTCTACAGAAAAGCTGACTAATCAGATTTAAAATAAACTTTATCCCTTCCTCTTGCTGTTATTTGACTGTTCCCGTCATTTAAAATTTAATTTAAGCCTTTTAGGTGTTTAATACTGGATTTAAAGTTAGATATGACAAATTATAAGACACTTACTTAAACCAATTCTAGTTATGAGATGAGTAAAGATTTAAAATTATAATAAGTGAGTCAAAATTTATTGTTCTCTTAATTATGATTTAGTATCTCTTGATTATGCTTTCATTTTGACAGAGTTAGATTTTTGCTTTGTTTTTCATAATCATGATTAAAAATTACAAATTCAGAATTTGTGTTACATAATTTTTACTCAAAGTCACATTTTTAACTAATAATTAAGACATAAATAATTCTTAATCAAAATTAGGAGACACTAAATCAAAATCCATAAAAACAATATTTTCCATATCTGACAAACATAAATGAATGAAATGCAATGACAAAACAAATATTTATGAGCTACACTATGACTTTGTGCTTTTACATACCTGATAGTTCATGATGGCACGTAAACACATGATGCACAGATGAACGTCATCCGTCTGGCTCACAGCTCGGGAGTTCCTCAGGGCTTTCCTGTTTTGGAGAGAGAGATGAAACGCTTCAGTTACAGCTTTGTCATCCCTACACCTGCACTAAAATATGCACAACATTAAACGCTTAGTAGATTTTGCACGTTATCTTTTTGTGTAGCAACTATGCGGCTCATACGTAATCCATAGATCAATCACTATTCCCCAGATTACAGCATATCACAGCAGTACACTGAAAAGTTTTAAATCAATGTAGATAAAACATGCACACAAACTGGAAACGCCCACTTCCTAAGGATAAGTTAGGGCACGTGTTGATCTACTTAAACATTTCTCACATTCACCTTTAAACAACACACGAGGCCAAGAAACCACGACAAGAATGCAGTCACTTCAGATCAGAACGCGTAGATGTCTGTGTGTGTTCACGTGCAGTCTGACATCTACACAATAGATGTTTCCACAGTGAACGTGCAGAAACGTCCATGAGTTCAGTGTTTGCTGTTAGTAAATTATTGTTTGACTGCTGTCAGTTCAGATATTAAAACCTCTAAAAATATGGCAATAACATGACGTGATGTGACAACAAAGGATCAACAAAAGTGTGTCAATATTGTCATATAAAATATAAATCTTACTTTTTTATAATTATAATTAAATATTTATAATATTTAATTATAATTGATTTAATTATTTAATGCACCACAGAGCGCCACAGGAAGTCATTCCTGCCATCAAACTCTATAACTCCTCCCTCCAAGTGTCACACGGACACTTAGTGAGTTTTAAACTGCACATTATTACCTGTTTGTGCAATAACACCTGCTTAATAACTTAATACTTTCTGCTGCTATTTATTCATTACTATTGTTCACCATAACAATTCCTTTAACTATGTAAATATTGTACATATCCACACTCCTTTATATTTTATTTTATATTTTTACTCTTACTTATTTATATTTCTTTATATACACCACTATCTTTATTTATATCCTTTTGTGCAGTGTGTGCAACTGTAACACAGAATTTTCCCTCAGGGATCAATAAAGTATTTCTGATTCTGAAATATTTTTAATATTTAATTATAATTGAATTAATTATTTAATTACTGTTATTAATTGGTGTTTCTTTTATGGCCTATTGTATGTACTTATAGTATTACAGTTTGTACACTATTATATTATATATACTATTATACTCTGATCTATATTGTTATTTTTCAGTATCTTCATATATTGAATTATATTTTTAAATTTACATTATATGAAAACAATGACTAAAAAGTGTGTTGATATTTTCAATATAAATAAATAGATAAAATAAATAAAGGTAATTATAATTTATTATTGTTATTTATTGGTGTGTATTATTTTATGACTATTCTATGTTTTTTATATATATACATACACACACACACACACATATATATACATATATACACACACATATATATATATATATATATTTAAACATTTTCAGTGTCTTGACATATTGTATTGTATTTTTATTTCATAATAGGGCAACAGGTTTAATATGCTTAGTTCACCATGGAAAATGAAATCTTATTCTCAATGTGACAAATAAAAATGTCTTTAAATTTTATTTTTTTTAACTTAAGACTGAAATAAAGATCAATTCAATTCAACCTACTTAAATAAAGGTTACAGGACATATATATATATATATATATATTATATGAGCCAGCACTTTGTTTGTTTGATCCAAGTGTATTTGGTTATCAACTGTTTGTTTGCACTCAATTTAATCTTAGCAGCAGCAAGGAAGCAGATATTTAACAGTCACACATGGATCTAATCTTCGCATGTCGTATTATTCTTTTATTAATAAAAAATTTATATCTTGATGGATCCGATCACTTTCTCACATCTCTCCCAAAGCACCCTTTATAACCTTTGCCTTATTAGCACATTATATCTGTACATGACACACATCTATATGTACAGTATGTGCAAACAAATAAATCTGCTGTCATTCTCAGCTGGCACATCACATGAAACCATCAAACACTCAGCAGTTTCATCTCTGACATCAGCCCACGCCGCCGCCGATTTAACGAAAGAGACACGCCACTTAAAGAATCCTGAATAGAATTCTACGGGGAAAGCCTGTCACACCAAATATGGCGATCATATGCACATATCCCACCTCTCCCGCCAAAATACTGCTTGAAAAGGTGCCAGATTTGCAATATGTGTTATAGAATAATAGGGGGGTTCCTATAAATATATATGGTAAATGCTGTCTGTATCCATAGTAATGAATTACATTTATATAGCGCCCACCTGGGTGATGCACGGCAGCCATTTAGCGCCAGAACGCTCACCACACATCAGTTTGAGGCAGAGAGGGAGGGAAACATTGAGCCATTTATTACGGGGGGTGATTAGATGGCCAGATGGTGAAAGCCAGGTTGGGAATTTTGATACCGGGGAACCCCCCACTCTTTGCGACAAGCGTGGTCTTTAATGACCACAATGAGTCAAGACTTCAGTTCAACGTCTCATGCGAAGGACGGCAGCTCTTACAGCAGAGTGTCCCCATCACTGCACTGGGGTCTTATTATTAGGACCAGAGGGGAGACTGCCCCCTACTGGCCCACCAACACCTCTTCCAACAGCAACTTAGTTTTCCCAGGAGGTCTCCCATCCAGGTACTGGCCAAGCGCAAACCTGCTGAGCTTAGGTCATCCAGCAGTAGCAGGGTTTACGTTGGTATGGCTGCTGGTTAGCATCAGTTAGCGTAGCATTTGTTCAATCGCTCCGGTGTGAGGAGCTCACTGCCTCACTGCACGGGCTTGTCGTGAAACCTTCTGCATGGGCTTTTTTCGTATCACCTCCGTCGAGTTTCCAAGCGAGCTGAGGCGATACTAAAATGTGACGTGAAGACACGGCAGACTGCTGACTGGTCAAGAGAGAATCGTCACTACTCACTGCATCATCATTGCGCGCGCAAGACAGAGGCCAGAAACAAAAAGATTTATATTTTACAGTTTTCATATGTTATTATTTCATCATCATGAGAAGTTTTGAGGTGAGAAATCAGCTGTGTAGATTTCAAATAATGTGCTTGAGGAGCTCCGCAAGTGGCCTGATCTCGTTACCAAGATGGCTGCCGAGTGGCGTGACTTGCCCGTATAAGGGCTGTGCCAACGCTCTCCATACCTTACTGTGAAGCCCTTGTTGGCCTTCGAGGCACTGTGAGAAGGCGAGTTGCTGGCACTTCTGCTCTGATTTTCCACCGCCTTGTCCGTAGTTTTGCATTTATCTGCGGGCAGCGTGCCATTGTCCAGAGTGTCCGCATCATACCTGCGAGTCACACAATCAAGAAGTTACTCAAACACAGCGGTAGCCTGTGGTGCTGTTCATGAGATAGTTTGATAAAGTGACGGGAAGTGGCTGCTGTGTGAAGGAGATAAGATGTCCATTGTTAAGACTCAACTGGTTCAGGAATGAGAAAGATTTTTGTTTTCAAGCTGATACCTACGTGACAGCACTATGGGCAAAGGACAGATAGTCCACGAGAACGTCTAAGCCTTGGTTCGCCTCGTTTAGAAACTCCTGAGCCCAGCTGCAAGGAGAAATAATGGGATTAACCACGTACGCTTCTCATACAAATCAATATGCAACTCACCAAGAATGTCACTTATTGTCAACCTATTTTTGGCATTGTGTTTATTTTATATTTGCATTTTTATCTACTTTGTACTACAACTCCTGCACAACAGTTTGATCTCATCTTAAAAAGGTATTTAAATTTAGTTCCACAGCTTTAAACAGTAACAAACACTAACATCTTAAGATTTCAAAATGACCCTTATTTACAAACTGAAGTGAGAACGTGTGCTTTCAGAGACACTTTTCTGTTACAACTTCAGTTTAAAATAATTGAAAAGGCAAAACTAATCCACAGGTTTAAGATAACACTCTAATTAATTGAATTCACATGCAGAAAAAACCCCCATTATAATTAAAATGCCCTTCAGAGTCTCGAATGCTTCAGTTAAACACTAGTTTAGTGAATATTATACACTGTACTGTCCAGTGATTATGTAGACGTTTGAGTTGTGTGTGATATAACCAGCTCCGTTCCTTCATCAATGGTTTGACAAAGGCTTTTTTCCCCTGGAGAGACTCACCCAATATAATTGGTCCTCAGGGAAATCTCCAACTCTCTCAGGATCTGAGTGGATTCCTGGACACGTCTCTTAAACTGATAAAACACGTGCAGGGAATTTAGAAAGCCAGTAAAATGCTTAATTACTCAGAAAATGTAAAAGACACCAGGGTACTGATTTGTAGCAAGGACTCAACAAGCATTCACATTAATTAGTGAAATACATCACATTCAAAAATATTATCTGATCTTCTGATTCTGAATCAGTCACATTCAGAAATGGATTAAATGAAGTGCAAATAAAAAAAAGTCTTGCCAAACCAAAATGTCAACATTGCTCATCATGTAAAGCTCAAATATTTACTGCTACACTTTTTTTAAATCTGCAAAGTGAAGCTAGAGTGACACAAGAGGGCAACTGAGTGGGAAAGTAGTGGAATAAGCCAAGTTAACAACATCTTGATTTATCTATTTATGCGTGTTTGTTGTTGTTTGCCTTTTGTTTTTTCAGTCATTATCATAAAACAATAATTCATGTCAATAAAACAAATCACAGTGTAAACGCAAACAACAAATAGTGACTGAGAAGGTTATATATGCCTATCCTATGTTCCTGGGAATTAAATCTATGCACCTCAAAGAAAAAGGAAATAAATAAATAAATATATATACACACAAACACACGTAAAAAACAAAGAACTTCATTATTCTCATTTGTACCCGTCGAAAAAAAATTCAATAAATAAAAAGCACATTTATAACCATTAAAAATATCATTAAAACTATTTTCTTGAACACCAAAAGAGAATTGCACATTTTTAATTTTACCCCTTCAATAGAAATACATCTTCTTTTACTCTCTTTGTTTGCTTTTTGAAAAGTAAACTTAAAGCTTTGATGTTTTGCTGTAATAGACAGCTCAGGAAAAGGAACAATGATCAAAAAGGTATACAGTTTTTTTTTAAAAACCCTTAAAAACATATTCATGGTGGTTTCAAATTCGTTTTCATCAGATGAGATCTGGCTACTAAAGTTGGATATTAAACAGTCCTTTACATCATTAACAGCGCAAGTAACTCCACAGGGAACCTTTAACATATCGCTCTAGTTGGCTGTCCATTTTGCAGCTACTGCAAAATATTATGTGGGGTTTCACATAGATTATATATTTATCTGGCATAATACTTAAATGTCAAAAAGTCAGTGCGTTTTGACGGTTACTTTGTGACAGAATTTGTCTCCAGTCTTTATCTAGCGAGCAGCTGTATGCCCTATCATCACTACAGCAGCCAAACAGACTACAGTAACTGTATCTGAACGTAATCTCTTGCAAATTGTTCTCTGCCACAAAAAGAATTTTATCAACTGCATTCTTAGGAAATACGGTGGTAAAAGGCCAAACAGAAACTCAACTTTAAACCGAGATGTGGGATGTGAGAGTGCTGAGCTTTACCTTTCGACTGACTCCTCCGTGATCCAGATAACTCTTCAGCTTCTCTAAATAAGCGGATGGTGGATTCTTCACTTGAAACCGCTCCTGAAGATGCACACACACACACACACACACACACACACACGCACACACCTCTAATTATATTTGATTGCTGTACTGCAGAGGGCAGAGCTCAGCCGGGGTTTCGCACAGGCAGTCTGATTACACAGCGTCTCTTATGCAAATGGGTTTAATGCTAACAAGTTTCCAGAAAAGCTTCTACTGTGATGCAGCACTTATATTCACACGCAGTCCAGCTGTGCCGGTCCCACTCACACACAGTTATTCAACACAGTACAGTATTTCATCAGCTCACAAGAATCACAGTGAAACTGTCTGGTTTACCATTAGAGGGGCGAGGCTCGGTCTGAAAATGACAGGTGTCCTCCTTCCTGCCTGTGGTTACTACAGTGACGTGCAATATTAATGAGCTTCCTTGTGTGTGTGTTTGTTTGTGAGGACTGGGGTGGTTTATTAGGTCTGGTATCCACATTGCATCAGTATGCATAGTGGCCTACACTGCTTATACTGTATGTCCACTGCCCATAAAACATTTATTGGCTTATTTTTGCATGATGATAGATGGATATGTAGGGTAGGAGCGCTACAAATAGATAGAAGTGAGGGCCGTGTTGTTGAAAAACATCAAAATCCGGATTGCAGACCCACCTGGTCACAGATCAGGTCCCACTTCTTCTCGTTGTCATACTGACTGAGGATCTTCACCTTGTCTGGAGGAAGGTTCATCGTGTTCTGAAAACAGAAAAGAAGACAATGCAAGGCAAGCCTCAAGACTTGAGTAAAGAAAGCTGCCTGCTTGTGGTCAGGAAGTGTGTAAAAGGGATATTCAGATGTACTGCAATATTTTCTATTATTAAAAGGAATAAAAAAGGTCTTTGGAAATACAGCCGAGATGCTGCTTCAGCCTTCAAGCCTCTGAGTGGGCGCGATAGTTTAGCACTGAGAGAACTGACCGTCAGTGTCTTGTTAAGGCCAGCTGTTATTAGCATCTAAACTGAATAGTGTGGATATTTGCAGGTATGTTTTCAGTTGTTTAATGTGGTTCAGTAAGCTAAATGACTAATAGGCTATCTGCAAACTGCCGTTAGCAGAGCGCGGTTTTCCTTCAGAGTTCAGGCCCTCTATCTTTGACAAACTGATCACAGTTAGTGTGCCTTCACAAATCTCAGCTCTTATCTGTACCTATGCAGCCAAACCTTTATTCTCATTATTATTTGTGGCAGGATTAGTTTCGTGTTAACGTAAACTCTCATGTTCTTCTCAAGCTAAACAGACCCAGTCCTAGAAACAACAAACACGGGGCCCCCTTTGACACTTCACCACTATGGAGCCTTCTTCAATAATGCATGGCAGCAATGCGAATGATTTCTTTGTCACTCGGACGGACATTTTCATCCTCTTTCTAGTCACTCGACCAGCACTGAGTCACTCTGTGAGTCAGAGGTCTTTGTTTGGGCCTTATGGGAGCGTCGCTGCTCATCAGTGGTGTTAATGTCTGTTGTCACAACACAATAACAAGCGTGTTGCTAATCATGCACCGGCTTCTCCTGAGCACAGATAAGGAACACTACAAAGTACAAATGTTGCTTCGTGTGCTTTTTCTCTAACTGTAAAGTCAGTATTTGTTTTGAAAAACCCAAGCTGATGCTGCACTTTGATAAGAAACCATGCAAGCAAACCGATCAGCCTTGAAACTCGAACTGATCAACAACAAGTTTGCTTGGGGATGAAACACAACAGAGTGTAAAATCTCCCTGCTGTCGGTGGTATTCTTAAAGTCCTGATGAAAGATCACACACGCCACATCCATACACCACATTTAACATCCGTTAATGCACCGGTGGTGTCCCATATAATAACCAGATTCCAGCACAGACAGCTGCACTAATTATAACCCCCTACACATATGAAACTGGGCTACAGGAGATGACACGCAGCCAGCTCTCTCCTCACTTTGCTCAAATGCTACATATCCTCTTCATATCTGATCAGTTTCTCCTATTTTGTCCGCCCTCACGCCTCCTGCTCTCCTGTTAGTTGCTGAAACTGTGCAACTTGAAGCGTCCATCACGAGGCCAGTAAGAATCATCAACACTGACTCAGTCTGCTGAGGAATGTCCAGCAGCGGTTACTTAGTGGCGATTTGCTGCGTGCTTTGCCTCCGGGCCTCAGAGCTCAGACATAAGCCCCGGCTGCACCACATAATGGCAGCAAAACGCCTCAATCTTTATAACATGTTTGGAGATGTACAGATACTCATTTTGTTCATTCCCGAGGTCAAAGCTGAGGCTGTTTGAAAACTAAAAGACATGGAAAGCTGTTGTGTGGACATTGTGTGCGTCACGCTGAAAAACAGGGGCACGGCAAATTCCAAATAGCACAGTAAATCAATGTTGTTGTGTGGCTGGATGTGAATCTGATAAATCAGCCCTGATGAATGGAGCTGGTGGGTCAATACATGCTGGTTTTATTTGGCCTGCTGGATCAGTATTAAACAATAAACTGAAAGAGAAAAACAACCCATGTTTACTCTGGTATCACCCACTTTGAACCCGGGAGAAGAGAAATCTCTCAGCAATTGCGTTTGGGTCCCATCACCAACACAAAGAAGATGATTGAGAAAAGTTTTAAATATAACTGTAAACAATAATGATGACTGTCAAGTTTATAATAATACAAAAATATAAAGCATATTTAAGGTGCATCAGAATCAAAACAATAGCACCTAACCTTTGTCTTGGACCGTCTGTCAAGTCTTCAGGGTTTAATCAACAATATAGATCAAGAATGATATATTTATATATTGCATCTATCGCTGTGACAAGAAACACTCACTATGTTTGATGAAAAACAGCGTCTCAGTCATAGTCTGTCCACCAGAGAGCATCCACAAGTTAATTTTTCAACTGAAAACTATGTGTCTTGGTCACAATCATAAAAGAAAGTTAAACTCCCAGTTATTGATATCATCATTGACCTTAAGACTCCAGCGCCAGTCAGGCGTAAATGTCTTGTTTTCGCTTCCTCTGCTTGCACTTTTAATCATCTCTTATCAGTCAGATAACAGAGATACAATCATGACATAATCTGTTGTGGACACGTCATAACGTGTTTCTCATGTTTAGTCACATTGAGTACATAACCTAACTGATCAGTATGTGTCATTTACGTAGTAAATCAGTTATCCTGATCCGATTCTATTAATTAAATCTGTCTTGTAGAGATGCGTGCTTGTGTGCTATTACCCCATACACACAACAACAGAAACTAGCACACTTGTACACATCACAGAAGCACAAACAGTAAGATTTAGTTGCAGTTTAAAAATCATCTGTCTCTTCATTAGTGACACTACAGCAATGCAGACATCTGACATGCTATTTTTTGAGTGTTAGCTGCTTGATTTGTGTTCAGGTTTGTCTTAAAAGCTCCATATTATGCCAATTCTCAGGTTCATACTTTTATTTTGGGTGTCTACTAGAAAATGTTTACATGCTTTAACGTTCAAAAATCACATTATTTTCCCAGTGCTTCAGCAAGACAAGACAAGGCCTCACTGATCACTGTACAAACGCACAACTTTATAACTTTTTTCACTGGTTTTGGTGAAACTGGATCATATTTTAGAGAAAATATATTTTCTGATGTTCTGTGGCTGCTGATAACAGCAGCTAAATGTAACAGTACCTAGTGGCTAAAGTAACTGCTAACAAGAAGTAAAGCTATCTATCCGTCAGATTCAGTTGAGTTGAGTTAGAGCAGCCGGAGGACATAAAGTGATAACCAAAAAATATCCAGCTCTAGCTAGATGGAACGACCGCTTGGTGTTGTGTAGGACGGTGGGCCTGAGAGTGGTGTAATCAGTATGTGTTCAGTTGGCGGGGACACTGAACACACATGTACTGAAAGTCTGAGCAGGAGAAAGAGAGAGAGGAGAGGAGTTTTTACACATATATTTAGGTTGAAAAAAACATGAAAAAGTGCATTTTGAATAATATGGGACTGATAACACTTTGTTTATCACTTAATCATTTCAGACATTTTGAGATTCTTCTGCAGTAAGTATTGTAAAATCAATAATAACACTTTGAAGCAGGCCGAATGTTTAGTAAAACTTACCTGCTTGTGCCAAAGCCTAAAAGGGAAAGAGTATTTGGCCTGACAGGAGGAAATAGTGCATTTGTTGGGATTAATTTGTGCTCTGATGATTATTTCCGACTTATCCAACAACATCAAAAGGACAGTTTCGCTACGTTTCTGTGCAAAGAGCCAGAATATTTAGTTTGCTAAGAGAAAAGGTAAGCTATTAATGTCAAAACACAGTGCTACCATTGTTGTGCATATTAGAACAACTGAACAAACAAAGCACTTGGCCAAGAGGAGTGCACGTCACCATCTAATCAGATTATCACCTCGTTCACTGTCGTATACTCTACTGTGTTGGGATCAGCAGGGAGTTATGTAAAAACCAAAAATTCTAATTTGAATGAGTTTCAGTTTCATCTCTAGCTTGCTGATGGCTGCGTATCCTTCGTGGATCATTTTAAACACACTGAGGCACGTTAAGTGTGAAAGCATGTGGCCGTTTTTGTCGCACTCAAAATTTCACTCTCTCCATGGCAACCTGCACAATTGCCTCAGTGTTTTCTGGACTTAAATCCCTCTAATGTTGCTGCAACTGTGCTGATCAAAGTGGCATTACAAAGTAAAATGAGTGACCTTCACACCTGCCATTAACATGTATGCTAAGTGACTGGACAGTCACCAGACAGGAGGTCAATTTCAACTAAACAACACAGATGTGATGCGGTTCTAATTCGTGTAAGAGCAACACTGGAAACAGTCGTGAATTCAAGAATATGAGGCTCAAACTGGCAGCCGGAAGGAAGCAAGACAATGTGTTGAATTCAGCAGACAGAAGTGGGACATTTTTGTCTCTGAATGATGCATGGTGATGCATTCCTGAATTCCCAAATGTGCTGACTATCCCAAAAAGATGGATCAATGGAATTATCATGCTCACAGAAACAAGCTGCGTTTGCAGCAGTGGCTGAATAATTACTGCTAAATCCTTTTTCTCCTTCCTTTCCCTCCTTTTCTCCTGACTTGTACATGGCTGTGTCTGTTCTTGATGTAATCTGATTCCACTGTATCACATGTAACCACATTAAAAACACGAGTTTCAGAATCAGTGCAGTTGTTTGACAGGAAATCATTTGGAGTAGTTGTCCACCTTGATTATGATTTCGCACCACTACTAAATGCGGGAATCTATATTTCAAAACAGCAAGATATTTAGGACTAGAGAGTGAGCAACACACTATTTGGACAAAAGTACTAAAACTATTTAGACACCTGGAACCCAGCACCCCATTCATCCAAATAAAGGTTTCTCACCAGGTGCATATGCAAAATGTTTTTCAGGCTTCTGCATTTTTGGGCCAATAGAGCCTGTGCTTTCATTCTCTGGCTTCTCTGTTTCAGTTTCAATTTTAAAACACTTTATCTGTCCCTGAGGGGCACTTTCAGAGAACCGTAGATTAGTACAATTTATATTTAAGGTACATTTATCACAGTCCAGTACGGTTCTCTGCACACATGGTATGAATTTTTTTTTTCTGATATGGCTATTTGGATTTTATAATTCTATCAGGCATCAAATTCTCATAAAACATTTCCAGGAGTTTGCGATGCTTATGTATAAATCTTTTTACAGCAGTTTATTTTTAATG